AAACTACCAAGGAATGTAAAGGGCTTTAGTTAAGGTCTGGGAAACCTGAGAAGTGAACTCAGGGCCATTGTGTGGCTGGAGGGAGGTAGGAATTCCAAAACGTGTGATAATCTCATGGAGGAGATCAGAAACTACCTGAGCTCTTTTGTTAGTAGTGGGAAAAGCCTCCACCCATCCCGAGAATGTGTACACCAAGACCAGGAGGTACTGAACACGTTTGACTGCTGGCATGTGGGTAAAATCAAGTTGCCAGTCAGTCCCAGGGAGAGAGCCTCTAGCCAGGTGGGTAGGGAAAGGGGGCTACGATATCCTGAGTTAGGATCTGAGGTCTGGCAGATCTTACAAGAGGCAGTAATGGATTTTAGGAAATGCAAGTCCTCAGGGGTAGGCTGCAGGTGAGCCCTGATGAAGTTAGACAAGGCTTGACTGTTAGGATGAAAGAGCTGGTATAGATAGAACAGAATCTGACTAGTGTCAGGAGAGGTCAGGGGAGATGTGGGTTGTAGTGTAAGGATGTTCTGTGGTGAGTGGGATGAGCCCAGGCCTTTAAGTGCCGCAGCCTTAGCTGCCTCATCAGCCCGGTTATTTCCTTTGGAAACTATGGAATTGTCTGTCCAGTGGGACCGGCAGTGGACTATTCCGATGGCTGTGGGAAGGTGGGAGGCTTCTAGCATGGCCATAATTTGGCCTGCATTCGTTACAGAGTCTCCCTTTGCTGTAAGTAACCCATGCTCTCTCCAGATGGCAACATGGGAGAGAAGAATATGAAAGGCATATTCAGAGTCTGTGTAGATAGATATTAAGGAGATTGTCCCTGGGCTAATTGGAAAGCTCGGGTAAGAGCTATTAGTTCGGCCTGTTGATTAGTGGTGTGGGCAGGGTGGGCTTGTGCTTCAACCACCTCAGTATCCGATACTATAGCATAGCCCACTTTTTGAGCTCCCTCATGTACAAAGGAGCTGCCATCTGTGTACCAGGTATAGACGGCCTGAGGTAATGTGCCCTCCTGTATGTGTGAGGGGTGGGGCAATAGCTCCTCTAAAGTTTCAGTGCAAGAGTGAAATGGGGAATAGTCAGAGTTAGGTCAAGGAAGAAGGCTTGAAATATTAAGAGGTGGGCATGGTTGGAAAGTTAAGGTAGAGTCTTCTATTAGCACCACCTGGAGGGAAAGGACCCTGAAAGGAGGTTAAGTTTGTAAGCCTTTATATGTTAAAAGGTGAGACAGATTGTGAGAAGAGAAGACAGTAATAGGTGACCCAAAAGTTAGTTTTTTTGACTCTCAAATAAGGAGCTCCGCAGCCACTAGGGCATGAATGCAGGGGGCCCATCCTTGTATTGTCAGGTCTAATTTTTGATAGGTATGCTACAGGTGCAAAGGAGGGTCCCAGTTGGTGGCCCAGGGCTCCAAGGGCATATCCCTCTTTTTCTGTTACATAGAGGGAGAAGGGACGAGTTAGGTCTGGAAGATGTAGGGCTGGGGCCTCAAGAAGAGCCTGGTGGAACCTACGAAAGGGCTTAGTAACAGGCTTAAAAAGGAGTTCATGCAAAGGGCCTAAGGCTGCCTCATATAAGGGACGGGTGAGAAGGGAAAAGGAGGGGACCCAGGACCATAAGAAACCAGCCATTCCCAAAAACGATAAAATTTCTTCTTTATTAGAGGGAACTGCCAGAGACCGTATTAGGTTTTTTCTATTTAGGGTGATGTCCTTGTGGGTCGAGGTTATTGTTAGTCCCAGGTAAGTGACCTCAGAGGTGGATAATCGGACCATGGAGGGTGAGACCTGATAGCCCCTGCTGGATAGGAAGTTTAAAAGAGCAGAAGTGTTAGTTTGGCTAACTTGTAGGGATGGATTGCAAAGGAGAAGGTCATCTACATACTGTATAAGTTTAGATTTAAGGAAAGATAAGGAGAGTAGATCAGAAGCTAGGGCTTGGCCAAAAAGGTGTGGGCTGTCCCGAAATTCCTGGGGTAGAGCAGTCCAGGTAAGCTGAGTAGAAACAAGAGTGTCAGGGTCAGTCCAGGTAAAGGCAAAGATATTTTGTAAGTGGGTGTCTAAAGGAATAGAGAAAAATGCATCCTTGAGATCCAGAACTGAGAAACGGGAAGTGCCTGAGGGGATAGTAGAGAGGAGAGTATAGGTATTGGCTACAGCAGGGTGAAGGTGGACGACTGCAGAGTTGAGAAGCCGGAGGTCTTGAACCAGGTGATAGGCTCTATTGGGCTTTTTAACACAAGTATGGGGGTGTTAAAAGGAGAGGAAGTGGGGCGAAGGAGCTTTTTTCTTAGAAGGTCAGCAATAATAGGCTTAAGTCCCCTGAGGCTCTTGAGAGGAAGTGGGTGTTGAGCCTGGGCAATATACCATGTAGGGTTCTGTAGCTAAATGACTACAGGGGAATGATGTCTCGCCACAGAGGGGGTTTGGACATCCCAGACCAGGGGGGCCACTTTAGAGGCTGGTAAAGGAAGTGACATGTCACAACTGGTAGGTAGGGTAGCTAGGAGGAGGAGAGAGGGTGCTGGCAAGCTCGGGGTCAGGCGAATGTGTGGAGTAAAGGAGATAGAAGCTCCCACTTTGGCTAAAAAGTCCCTTCCCATTAAGGGAACTGGAGAGGCTGGTATTACTAAAAAAGAATGAGTCAAGGGGACACTCCTGAAAATACAATTGAGTGGTAGAGTCTGGCAAAGCTGGCAAGGTTGTCCCTCTACCCCAACAATGGAGGAACTACAAGGAAAGGTTGGTCCCCAGTACTCTTTAGGACTGAGTAAGTGGCTCCACATGGAAAGAGATAGCCCACCCTGATACCATGATGATTACCCATGGCTCCCTTTTAATGATGGCAATGGTCGTATCAAGGGAACGTGGACACCTTCAGTCATCTGTAGCCAGGCCTAAGATATCGGCCGGAGGGCAATCTGAGAGTGATGCCCCCATATCATGGGAGAAACGTTGGCAGTCAACACCCCAATGTTCCTCTTGGTGGCATTTTGGACATGGCCCCAGTGGCTTGCGGGGGTTAGGACAAGCCTGGACCCAGTGATCCTTTTGACCACATTTGAGACAATGACCCAGTGGTCCTCATGCCTTAGAAGGCAAGGGAGCCTAGGTAGTGGCTGAGGCCGGTTGGCTGGCCAGCATTTGGTATTTTTGCTTGTGGGTTTTTTCATCTCTCCATGGTACACCTTAAAGGCCAGCACTAAGACTTCTGCCTGTGGAGTCAGAGGTCCCCTTTCCAAGGTTTTAAGCTTAGCCCTGATGTCGGGGTAACTTTGAGAGAAAAAAATAGGTCATTAAGAGTTGTCTGCCCTCTGTACCTTTGGGGTCTAAATTAGTGTGTTGTAAAAGGGCCTTTATAAGGTACTCTAGGAATTGAGACAGGTTTTCCTTTCTGTCCTGAATGACCTCCTGGAGCTCTTCATAATTAACTCGCTTAAGGGCCACCTTTCGGAGACCAGCCAAGAGGTAGGTCATGAACTGATCTCGGGCTAAAATGCCTTCCAGAGTATTATAATCCCATTGTGGATCCTGCTCGGGTACCGCCTCAACCCCAACTAGGTGTGAAGCATTTGTTTGGTGAACCTCATCTGCATGCATTCTAGCCTGTTTCCAAACTCACCTGCATTCCTCAGGTAATAGGTTATTGGTAAGAATCATATATATGTCATGGAAGGTGAGACTATAAGATTGAGTGAGATATTGAAATTCTTTAATGAAAGTAGAAGGATTAGAGGTCTAGGATCCTAATCTCTTTTCTACTTGAGAAAGTTCAATTAATGAGAAGGGAACATGCACCCTAATTAAGCCGTCTATACTAGCTACCTCCTGAAAGGGAAGAATTGAGGCTGGCTTTGCGAAAGAGCAAGAATGGGTAGCAGGGGTGATAATAGTTATCGGTGGGGTGAATGTGGGTGCCAGAGTAAGACGATTGGGACAGCCTATTGCTGGGGAGGGGGGATGAGAATTTTGGAGAAGCCTAAGGGGAAGAGGAGGGGGAAGACACCAGAGGTTGTGAGGATTTTGGAGAAGCTGAAGAGGAAGAAGCTGGGGTTGAGTTCGGTGAGGTGAGGTTCATCTGCAGGGTCAAAGGTAGAGAACTCTTGAGATTGAGACTTTATAGCTAGAAGAAGTTGGGTAGGAGAACAGGAAGACCAGCGAGTGGAGAAGAAAGCTTGAACATAGGGTACCTCCTTCCATTTACCAGATCGCTGAGAGTAATTAAGAAGATCAGTAAAATATTGGGATTTAATGTGCCGTTAATTGGCCAATTTGTACCCTTATCTAAAGAATATGTAGAACAAGTTTTATTACAGATGTGTATGAGCTTAGAGGCCTTTAACTCAGGCTCCATGTGTAATGTTTTAAAATTCTCCAGAAGACATCCCAGTGGGGATGCTGTGAGAACGGATGTCTGGGTGTTCCCCACTGGGAGACAGAGAAGTCAGTGACCTTCCAGAGGCATCCCAAAGACAAGGTGTGACTCAGTCTAGATGGTCCTACCTGATCCAACAGCTAATCAGCTTTTGACCAGAGATCAGGGGCACAGTTACCCAAAAGAGCACAGTCCACATAGCACTAGAATTTTCCTGTGCAAGTGAGAGGGGAGGTTAGAAGAGACTGTGCGTGGGAGGCTCTCCCAAGGGAAAGGGGGCCCTAAATTGAGGTCCAGCAAAAAGGGTCAACTGTAGCCAGTGAAGACGGTGGTTGGGGGTTCCTCTGCCTCAAAGGGTACTGGGAAGTTGCCGGACTCTAACCAATGGGGGGAACTCACCAATTTAGCTGGTGTTGGATGTCATGGTAGCAATCTGGTTGCCAGAAAGTGGGGGTCACGGCGGATTTGGAACAAAATAGGTCTCCAGCCCTGGTGGGGTGCCAGCACCCCCCACATGGTGTGCCCACTGGAGGAACCTATTCCCGGCCAACACACCAATGCTAGAATTGTGCGAAAGAGAGTTACACATCGAGTTCACAAATCACGCCATGCAACCAGTTCCATGTGGGAGGTTTATTAGGGGAAAGGGTCACAGAGACCATCTCTGGATGAGGCAAGAGAGAAGTGGGGGGAGCTCCGAGTTCGCAACGGTGACCCAGAGCATGCGCAGGTAGTTTCTGGTGGCCTCACAGTTGCTGGATAACCAGTTTGTCAGGTCCCTTGGGGCTGGCTGTAGAGATGCCTGCTTACGGATTCCAACACACGTGGGCATCATTTTCGGGGTGAAGGGGCCACTCCAAGATTTCCAGATGTAAAGCTTCACTAACAGGTGCCCACTTATTCCGACCTCATGTTGAGTTAGTGCGGACGCCTCAGCAACCTCCAGGTCAAATCTACCACCTAGAGGCTACCCCTAGTGATAAAGTCACCTTAGTAGCGCCATCCATTGGAGCACTCCACATGTAAGTCACTTAAACAGAGGAAAACCATTTCTATTCCATTTTAATTGAAAGCAAGCTTTGTTGTAATTGCTGAAAGGGTCTGAAAAGAGAAGGGAAATCTTGTATCTGTTAAATGTAAAACAAACCTTATTTACTAAACATAAAAGTATTAATTAGCATTCTTTGAATTTAAATACACATGCCCATTTTGCAACAAGTTTATGCACAAAAAGTTTTTTAAAAATAAGCTTTGACCTCTGAGTTTTCTCATTTTCTCCATTCTAAAATTCAGGGTGTAGCTTTAGCAATAAGGTAATGATCTGTAGAAAATACATACGTGTTTACAGCATTCTCAAAAAGATAATGTGAGTGGTGTTATTAAAGAGTCAGGAGGTGGTTAATAAAGCCATTTCACTTCTGTCCCACACTGGGCCGCAGGAATGAATGGTAAGAGCTCCCACAAGGTGATCAAAGAATCTACGCAGGCTTTGCGGACTTCAGGTGAATGCTGGATTTCTCCTCATGCCTTCCTCTCCCTCTCACACAGCTCTGTCCAGGAGTCCCGGAAGGTGGGGCTGCCCAGGGAAGCAGGCTGCCCCTCAGGGAGGTGAGAACCCTGCAGCGATCATTTGCTTTCTACAACCAGAACCTGTCTTTATTTTTTTAAGTGTCAATTGAAGTCTATGTTTTTTTCATTCACCTAGAGAGTTTGCTATTTAAAGGAACCCTGCAGTGAATCCTTCTGTAGAACAAAGACCTTTTGATAATTCAAATATATCTCAATTGATAGGTTTTCTTGACTAAGGATTTCTAAATCTGTCTGCTTCCTTAAACACAGGGCACTGGAGCCCTCCTGAACAGTAAACTAACCTGACTTTGAGAGTTGGTTAACAAGCCAGTGAACTGGACAAACTGGCTCCTCCCAGTGGAGGAGCTGTTTCTGCTATTAAACTCAAAAGAAAAAGAAAGAAAAAAACAGAACTAATCCCATCTTTGAGGACCTAAGAGACACTAAAAATGACTACAGAAGGTATAATAAACTGACCTTGTTTTCTTCAAGGAAATTGGTTTTATCTGAATGACATGAATTTTCAGTTGCTTAATTCTGTCACAAGGTTCACTAGGGTGTCGGCAATTGGGGCTGGGTAAAAACAGGATACAGTTACAGCCTGAGTGTTTTTTAAAGTGCCTAGCATGAGCTCCTGAGATAGGATGGTCCTTCTGGGATGGCCCCCATGAGAAAGAAGGTGGTGCTTGCCTCTGGGGCTCATGAAAGAATTACGAGGTAGCAATCTTAGGATGAGGGCATATGCCCTGGAGCACCATTCCATGGAGGTGGCAGATAAAGAGTGAGCCTATGTCTTAAAGGATAATTTTGGCAGCCCACCAGAGCACCTACTGAAAGAAATAACTGGGCAGAATGCAGCCCAGTACGGGGTCCTCATCTGTGCCTAGAGGCACAGTTTGACAACCAGACCTCAGCAGCATGAGCTACTGAGTTAATCCTATGCAGATAGCTAAGAACTGGGCTGGGGTAGCAGTGTTCCCTCGGGAATGGGGATCTGGTGTTTGGGATAACAGCAAGGAAGGACTAGATGGGGTCTGAGGTTTACAAGCAGACAACAGGATAAGGCAATTGGGTAAAACGAGCATAAAAATGGCATGGAAGGGGCAATAGGGGCATCCATGCTCTCCAGAGATGGTTGTGTCCCACTTAAACATGCCCATGGCTTAAAGGAGTAGCAGTGTTCTACTTTCATTCTGACAGAAAGCAACTTGAGGGGGAAAGTTTTATTTCAGCTTATGTTTTCAGGTAACAGTCCCTCATTGAAGGAAGGAAGGGCAGGAAACTTGGAGCAGAAAGCATGAAAGGACACTACTTACTGGCTCCCCTCTGGCTCCCTCACACTGCCTTCCTAGGGATGTGCAGCGCACAGCAGGCATTCATCAAGACAGCCTCTCACAGACAAGGTCATTATTTGTCTGAGGCTCCCAGATGACTCAAGCTGGCAGTGAAACTAGCCAGGACATGCAGCCACTTACAGGACCCTTGGACTACGAGTGGCTTCATTCCAACCCCGCAGATTTGAGACTGCTTCTTCAGTTTGAGCCGCATGTGGTTTGGGACCCACAAACTGGATTACTAAATAGAAAAGCTCCCAGAGCTGACAAAGCTGAGGCAGCCTTGCCATCCCGGCTAAGTTACCTGTCGTAACCTGTACTGCACAGGCAAGTGGGGTTCCATCATGATCCAGGTGTCATCAGCAACAGCGCATGGTGCCTAGGCTGTTCTCACTCAGAGAACACCCATGCTGCAAGTTGGACTCTGTGGACCCAATATTCCTGTGTTACAAGCAAGAAGATAGATACGTGTAGTTAGAATACTTTATTATGCTGAGGGTCATTACACAAGGCTCACACTCTGTATAAGGAATTAACCATTCTGTATAGATTAATTAAATGCAAAACATTAACACAGCAGCAGTTTTCTTTAACCAGCTAGTTTCCCAATGATTGACACAGAGAGACTATGATTTATTATTAAGCTGTAGGCACTACACTGAACAGATTTTGAGCTATTACTCTTAAAACCTACATCACTTGCCAATCTGATGAATCCTGGGTGGTTTCTGCTCCATCAGTATGTCTTCATGGCATACTTCCCTTGACCTTGTGCTCTAATTCCATCCTGTCCAGCCATGAAGCTCCTTCCTCCTTCTCTTCTCTCTCCTGCTACTTCCTCTGCTCCACATGGTCTCCTGACCCCAATCCAGGGAACCTAAGCCGGATCTACCTCTTTTCTGCCCAGTCATAGGCTTCAGCATCTTTATTAACCAATTGGTGATAACTGGGGAACATTCCTTACATCACATGGACAGAAGAGATAGTTTAACATTCATAGCAACGCCCATGACAGGGTGGTAACCAGGTCTCTGAGCACTGAAATCAGCATCTGAAAACAGTGCACAAGACCCTCCTCCAACAACACTCTAAATCCCTAACTGTGGTCCTAAGCCCACCTCCCCAAGCTCACCTGTGAGACATATCCTTGCTGAAAGTCAGGTCCAGTCTCTAGCAGAACTCTCTTATTTCAGGATCAGGATCCTGGGGGAAATTCCCCAGCTGTAGGGCAAATCTAGGTGCCATCTCTCCAGATGTGCTAAGCAGAGCATTGCTCTTGGTCGCTGCTTATATACTGTGCAGTGCTCATCATGGGGCTTTAGGGATATGTCTGGTTATCTTGAGTGAGTGATGTCATTGGGTTCTGGTTATCAGGTGCATCCTTGGGTGTAATAGGGATCCTGACTAAGGTATTTTTAAATATCTAAAAGACCTTTTTTTACTATGCTTATTACACTCTGGGTTCTTCCCACTCATCCTAGACACTTTGCTTCTTAATCATGGCAGCTAATGATAAATGAGGAATAAGGCCCCTTCTGTGGCTGCTTTTCCTTATTCTCAATCACCAGGTCCCCACCCCTGCATCCCTCTTCCTTAGGAATAGATGTATAGTTAGGAGTGCCATCCATTCGCTTTAGACAGAACAGGAAAGGGTCTTCTTTCACCTTCTCTGCTATGTGCCTGGCGTCCATTCTTTTCTAGATGCTGTCCTTGAGAGCTGCCGTCCTATCCTGACTCTAGACTCATTTCCCCCTTTCTTCTTGACTTCTGCTCTATTTTAACTTTCTACAGGGGTTTCTGACAGCCACAAATTTTGGAGAATGAATGTATGTCTAACTTAAAAAAAAACATGTGAATGGAAAGAAAAAGAAGCACTCAATCAAAATACAAATTTTTCATCTTTTACTTCTCAGGTACAGGGATTTAATTAAGCATATTTCTTCATTGAGTTAACATCATCATTGACCACTGGAGTCTCTGATTTTAGTTAATTCTTGAGTCCCTTTCTCTGGTTTCTGCTCTCTCTCTTTTTTTTTTTTTCAACATCAGTAACAATCTTAAGGTGTGTTCATGTGTTTTATTTTTAAGTGTTTAGCATTCATGGAAATAGGATTGTAGGCTTATTTAGATAATTGTTCCTATTGCTAAACGTTCCTGGCACCATGGAAAGAATAATTTAGGCATCCATCAGGAAAAGGGACAGTCAAATGGCTTTTAACAAATCACAGCCAGGTGGAAGGAATAACTCCAACAGGGGTATCAATCAAGAAGGCAGCACCCTCAAAGAGAGGACATCCAAATGGGTACTAACAAATCGCAACAAGGAAGGAAGAAGAGCTTTACTCTCCTCCAGCACAGTAGGTTAACTATGGCAACAATTAATTGACTGCTTCAAAATGGCAAGCAGACGATTTTGAATGTTTCCCAATTTCCACCACACACACACAAACACAAATGATGTGTGTCTGAGGTGGTGGATGTACCAATTACTCTATCTAACCCATTATGCATTGTATACCTGTGTGAAAATGTCATGATGCCCCTCATAACTATGGGTCAATATTTGAAAAGAAATGTGGGTCATGTCATGAATGGGTACTTTCAGAGATGAAAAGCAGACACTTGACTGCACAGAAAATGCTGTCAATTGAAGACCAGTCAGAAATGAAAACATGACATCTTGGAATAAAAATATGTGCCAGTGGGAAACCATTTTGAATATGGATCCATGGGACCATGTTGCCTGAGCTGCTTCACAGGAATGCTTCCGCTGTGAGGGTGCTAGGCAGCTCTTCGCTCCGTTCTTTCCTCCTCCTCTGGCCCCACCTCTTTTGGCCCTAGGCCTCTTTCTTCACCTAGCCACATCCACAAAGACACCTGCTGTCCACTCGGGTCCTTTTGGTGGTGGGTACTCTTTATTCTCATCTCAGCTGCCTCTCTTCTGCAAAATCGACATCAACTGGAAATTTTCATCTTGCACTGGGGACAGCCAGTGCATGATCTACAGCTACTCTCACTTCAGTCCAACCTTTGCTCCTCATCCCTCAGGCCTACATCAATCAAGAGCTCAGGCAACCTCTCTGGTCAAATCTAAACCAAACTGCTCCTGCGGGAACCACAGCATACTCCCATTTGGAAGAGGAGGCTGTGTGCCCAGAGGCTTCAGCTGTGAGCTCCATTTGCATGAATAAACAGCTCTGAAGGGTTCAGCTGAAGCTTTTGTGTAAACACTCTCCAAAATATGTTCTGTGCTGCATTATCTGCCGCAATAAAGACTCTGGAACCGGAATTTGGCTGTCAGTTTTATTGATGCTGCATGGGGTACAGTAGAATACAGCTTTCTTTTTTGGAAATTTATTGGCATGGCAGTGCAGAGAGCAATAAAACTGTGTTTTTAATCAGTAAGCCAAGCGGACATGATTCCAGGAGAAATATAGGAAGCAAACATGCCATGGCAAGGAGGCTTCTCCCTCCACTGCCTCTGCTCTTCTGAGAGCTCTGGTTAAATAATGATGGGAGAGCTGCTTGGTGGGACTGCCCTCAAGAACAGAACTAGAGAAGCTTGTTTGCATGGCTTTTCTCTGTGGCCTCTAAGAAATGGTTGAGTGAAAGCATTTTACAGAAATAAGTTTTCTGAAATTCCTCTGCATTATCTCCAAGGAAGGAACTACTGGGAGGTGGCTTTGTGAGAGGAACAGAGAGGGCAGAATATTCTTCCAAGAGAAGAAAGCTATGCTGCCTCTTTCCCAGGAGAGAAGGGGTTAGGGTTCAAAAGGGGTTAGGGTCCCTTCAGTGCGGTATTGCCAGAAGAAAGGGCATTCTGAGGCAGCCTGCTTGGTTGATGGCCTGGTCGATTTACTCAGTCAACCTCTTTGCAACTCAACGTCTTCTGTTGCCAAAAGGAAGTTCTCATTTCCCTCCACTGTCTCACTGTCATGTGGAATAAATAAAGCCATAGGTGGTGTGCATAACTCACACACACTTACAAAGGCAGCAGGTCCCCTCTGTCACCTGCCGATTGAAGCCTATCAGAGGTGTGCTTTCCTGATGGCTAAGGCAATCACTACTGTACAGCTGTGTGAGCAGCCAGGCTAGTCTCATGTGCGCTTTTGCCGGAAATGTCCTGATCCACTTCCTTCATAGCCTTGGGCCATTGCAAGTACTCATCAAATGGCTGACTATTCATCCTTGCCTGATGTAAGTTATCTCACATCAGGTTTTTTGGGGGCTTGTGTGCCACTAGGCACTGGCTTTCTGTGACTGACTATCACTTGTTTATCGATACTTAAGTCCTGTACAGCTTCACAAACAGCTGTAAGAATGCTTAGGTAGTCGCTGTGGCTGTGAGTGTCTGAAGAAAAACCTCTCATAGATACTCCCTCAAATGATATGAAATGCCCATGAATTAAGCATAGGAGGAAAGGGACCAGGTTCAGAAACTGGCATCAGCTGCCTGGGGAAGGTAATGGCAGTAGAGACAGGAAGATATGGCCAATGAGATAGAATCGTATTTTCAGTAGAGCTTTCTTCTTCCACCCACATGACTTCTGACTGTAATTCCCCCACTTGTTTCCTCACAACTCCAAATAGCTTCTTGTCCATCTTCAAAGCCAAGCAGAGAAGAACACTTGGGAACTGTTGATAGTTGTCTACTTGATGCCATGCCCTGTCTAGGGCTATCTTATTGAACTCTCCCAACAGTTCTATAAGATGGGAATTGTTACTCCTATTGTATTGATGAAGAAACTAAAGCAGAGTGCTTACATGAATGCTTGGGCTATGTAACCAGGACGGGGAGATTATATACCAACATTTGTCATTTTAAGCACCAAATTACACATTTTGATAAGGACCAAGAATGACCCCTGGCATAATCTTCTACTGACATGGCTTAGACCTACTACCCAGGAAGTGCAAGCACATGTGTGCATGTGTGCGCACACACACATGCACACGCACACACACAAACACTACACACACACTACATACACATACTATACACATACAGACACCACACACACATACCATACACATATTGCATACACACTGCATATATACACGTCACACACACAGACACACTTCACACACACTACACACACATACTACATCCTACACATACTCACATGCGCGCGCACACACACACACATCACATACTATTCATGGACTTGAAAAACAGCTATTCCTAACCCTTAAGCTTTGACCTTTTTCTTTTCTTTCCCAGATCACTCACCTATCTCCCTGTCAAAGTAATCCCATCACAAGCTTTCAGGGGACTTAATGAGGTCGTGAAAATGTAAGTAAGATACTGCATATCAAAGACATTTATAATTGAAATAATGATTTTTTTTTTCTAAGAGAAAGCACAGTTGCAAGGGGATAATTTTTTTAGGAGAGAAACTGTGTTTAGGAGACCCAACTATTTTTATCTTTATAATACAAATAATATCTATGAGCCTTTGAAGAAATGGTATGATTTTCAAGAGTCATTAAAATCCAGATAATTAACCTTGCTTCAAAGAATTGAATGCATTTTGATAAGTGATGATATTCTTTTTAAGTAGAAAAGAGATAGATTCCAATCATAAAAGTTCCCTTTCTGCTACAGCAGCTATTCCCTGATGTCACTTTTTTATAACTCCCACATTGATGAAAATGTTAGAAATTTATTGTGTATCATAAGAAAATCATTGTGTCTAAAATAAAGTAAGTGCTTAACAAAAGCACAGTATTTATAGCTGTGCTAATGAAAGGCATGAACCATGTGTGAAGCAGTCCAGTGATGCTGTATGATCTCCTGTTCCTCAGAGGGAACTTCAGTCTCTTGTTCTGGGGTTTCCACTTCTAGAGGGGCATAGACCTCAAACACAGAAAACTCCCTAGGAAAGAGAATATTGCATCATCCTCGTTAACATAGCCTGAGCCAAGGTAGCCTAGCAGCCTTTTCATCCCCACAGGCCACCACTAAATAGTCCCAGGCACTGCCAAGTAGATTTGCATACCCAAAGAAGACTAAACTGACTGTCTGAGCTCCTTAGGAAACCTCTGTTGTTCCTTAAGGTATCAGTAATGATAACATTTAAGGTATAATCATTATCAAGAGTATTTCCTGCTCTTGGAAAGGACTGGAGTTCAGTTCTCAGAATCCATGCTGTGTGAACGGTAACTGTCTGTAATTCCAGCTCCAGGGCCATCCAGTGCCATCTTCTGGCCTCTGACAGTACCACTACACCCATTTATATACACAGAAGGAAATACACACAACACCTAAAACAAATCTTAAAAACTGTAAGTCCTCAATAACAGTGTGTATTACAGGAAACTCACTTCCATCTGCCAGTGTGGGCTTCTGTGCCTGACCCGCTCTTCTGCTCTAAAGTTTAGGTGTTGAGTTTTCATAACTTTTGGTGCACTGAGACCTTCTACTAAAAGCAGGCACAGTGGAGGAAGCAAACCATCAGACAGAGAAGAGAAGAAACAGCCCAGGAGCCATCCATTACAGAGTCGTTGCCTTAGGCTCTGCCTTTCTGTGAGCTGAGGGTCTTGTGGCATCTGAAGTCTTCAGTGAGCACTAACCTTAGAAATGCACAAACCCACACTTGAGGACTGGAAACTTTGTTCTCAGCTGGCAGCAAATGACAGCTTTTGTGAGGATTGTGACATTACCAGCATGCTTGCATTTGGTCTATGACAAAACTGATTCATTTACATTTGTACCTTCCTAAAGAAATAAATTTAATCAGTAGTCTACTTGCACCCTTATTCATTCAATCTGTAGCTATGTACAAGGCAATATGAAGCCACAGGGGACTCAGGAATAGAAAGCATTCCTTGTCTTCAGTTTGCTCACAGAATGAAACATTTGAGGAAAAGGATGATTAGAATCCAGGATGTGATCTGATAGGAGCTAACTATCTTGAAAGAGCCTCAGAAAAGAATTTTGAGAAAACAAGAGTTAAAAGTTACAAAACAACTACTTCAATCCAAATTAAAACCTTGCTGAAGTGATGACCGGTACCTCAGAGATCTCAACCATAGCCTTGAAACCTCATGTAAATTCCATTAGGGTATTGCTTTCCAGAGCTGTCAAGCAAGGAAACCTGACCAGAGATTTTTTTTTTTAAAGGGCCTATGAGCTTCCAACAATGTATGATTCAGAGTATGGTACGATAATAGACTTTTGTATAAATGGGGGAACTGAACTTATAATTCATTTGCACTGGAGTTATAGACACCCATTGGTGCTTCTAAGGGAAATGTTAGCCCTTAAAGGTGTAGGGACAACTTCTACATTCCCGTCCCTTTTCAGAGGACGCAGAGGTGTATCTAGGGACTGGGTCACTCGTGCACGAGCACACACACACACACACACACACACACACACACACACACATTATTATCACAAGAATACATTCATTTCTGTCATATTTATTTTTATTTTTTCTCTCTCCTAGTGAAATCTCTCAGAGTGATTCCCTGGAAAGGATAGAAGCTAATGCCTTTGACAGCCTCCTCAATTTGTCTGAAATGTAAGCATCAGCTAACATGGCTGCACGCGATGGCCCTGGCTGGTAGGAACCTGCTTGGTACTTGTGCTCAAGCGTCCAATGCTAGGGATCCAAGAGGGAAAGACTGCAACAATTGCTAGGTCTGGGTGGGCACTAATCTCGCCCTGCAGTGGCCTGGGGTTGCCGTGGTGACCACTGCTTCTCCCTAGGAGCTGCATAAACTCTGAAACCTCGCAACACAGTGCTGGAAATTAAGACTGACATTGTGAAGTCCTGCCAAGTCGCTCTTGCCTCATGGGGGTTTGCTGGGGTGGGTGGATATTGAACACTTGGAGCAGGTGAGAAGTTGGGAAGGAGCTCAGAGATCATGAGTTGGTTCATCAGGGGCTGTTGAGGCATAGCCATTCCCTCAAGTAAGTGCGTCTATGGCAAGCCTAGTGTTAAGCCTGTCAATGTTGGCTCATTAGGCTTTATTGGTGGTTGTATTGTCAGATTTATTCTTGAAAGTACGTGTTTCCAAACGACCATACATAGACATGCCCAACTCAAAAGGAGATGGGAGAAGAAAGGCTGGATTCAGCTTCCAAGTGATGCACGTATGGCCCCAAAACTTTAATGCACTTGGTTGATATCATGCAGCAGGTTAGCACCAGAGCTGGACTGGACACTAGGTCACATGACTTAGAAACCAGACTTCTTATACCACCTTAAGAGGCTCCCACCAAAACTTCTTGCAGCATCCTCGAATTCCCCCATGGGAAAGTCAAAAGGAAGAGAATGGTGTACAGCAAGCACCCGTGAGCTCTTGTACTTGGCATTCCCTCTAGGTTTTATCACTACCCTCATGGCTACCCAGCATGGTTAGATGATTACCCTTTGTCCAGAGAAAGGAATGGAAGCTAGGAGAGTGTGTGGATCCTTTAGACTCTGGCTGGGCTAGGACTGAACTCTAACCCTACCTTCCTCCAAAGCTTTTATATTTCTCATTATACCAAAAGGCCTCCATCAGTGGTCCAGGGAATAGCTATCTAAGCAGACGGACTAAATGATGACTACCTGCGTACCTGCTGTCTGTTTGTCTTGAACTAGGAGCTGCTGAAACACAGAGGAGCTGAATACAAATCTTCACAGAACATGACAGGATAGCCAGAAAATTGAGAGTAATTCACCAAATGATTACATAAAAAGCCAAACAATAGCTATTTAAATTCCAAAGAAGCAGTGCATTGTGCTTAGGGCTCATTATTTTGTAGGTGACTATGTAATCCCAGACCTGAAATTCTGCAGCATTGACTGGCTTCCTAGCTAATGCTGAAGCACCATCAGGACGGCAAGTGATAAAGGAAGCAAGCCATCAACTGAAAGGAAAATAAAACACTCTACAGGGGATGTCTGTGCATTCCTCCTGAGGCTTGCATGCAACTTCATGCCGTCTCCGTGCTTTGTCCACAGTGGCATCTTGCAGAGCTAGGGCAGTGCTAGACATGCACAGACACTCAGTACATGCTGATAAAATGCAGCCTGTGTGAGTAAATGCTCTATGGTTAGACCTTAGAGGATCTTAATGAGGTGACGGTTCCTGCCTTTCACGTGTCTGGCTGATGATCGCTTGATTCAGTTATTAAAAGAATAGCTACCACAGAATACCACTCACATCCAAAGAATCTACACCTTATGCCCATGTTCCAAGTGTCAATAGTCACTATAGTATGGCAGAGTGACCATTACATTTGGAATCAGAAAAACTAGATCCCATTCAGGTCCTGTTACTCTTCAACTAAATGAAGAGACAAATCTTTCAAATTTCACCATCAACACTGGCAGAGAATTTAGTGTAAACCAGTCACATTTACTTTCCAGAACCCACCCTAAGGATGGATTACATGTAAAAGGAAAGCAGAAGGGGCACTAGCTGGGGAGAGAAAATAAACCAGTGGGGTAAGAGTAATGGGGGAGGATATTATTATTATTATTATTATTAATAATAATAAATGGACACACTAGCTTGGGGAAGCTAGAAAGACAGGAATCCTACATAGCAAATTATCTGTAGGATGGGCATCACATAGATTCCAGAAACCTGAATCCCAAGGCTTCTGTCCTGTGCAATTCTGGATGCATGCCCATCTGGATAACTTCTCAGTGTGCTTACTAACTCAACATGAACACAACTGGGTTGCCTGCAAGGCATCATGTTTATTTGTTTATGCTCCCGAAGGAGGTAGAACCTCCTATCACTCCCAGTGTGCAGGCTCTATAGCAGGCAAGCTCTACTTGGCCAGGAGCCCTGGACCTTGGTGTTATCTAGTGAAGAGGGGCAAATGTGGTGATAGCACAGATAAACTCTCAGCCAAGATGCTACACCTGCCACTTTGGGGAGGATAGGCAAAGCTTCTCGGAATTAGTTGGCCGGGCTCTCGGACACTCCCGAGTTCCAGAGCTTGTGTTAGGGTTAACAGTAGTTGATTTCATTGGAGGGATTTTAGTCAAAAATGCCTGGTGACCAGTAAGATGCAATCCAACACCTATTAAACCAATTTCCCCTTCTCTTTACAGACTGATCCAGAACACCAAAAACCTGGAATACATTGAACCTGGTGCCTTCACAAACCTCCCTCGGTTAAAATACCTGTGAGAAAATTTTCCTTTACAAACATTTGTGGAGGGGAAGATGGGTATCTGATGAAACTGGAAGTAATCAAAATGTTGGAGAAAGATTTTGTTTTGTTTTTAAAAGTTTGGTTCAATGTTTTAATTATGTGTATGTATGTGGGTCTGAGTGTGGGTTTGTACATGAGTGCGGTGCCTACAGAGACCAGAAAATGGCATCAGATCTCCTGGAGCTTGAGTTCTGTGTTTGTGAGCTGCCTGACATGGCTGCTGGGAACTGAACTCTGGTCCTTTAAAAGAGCAACAAGCAACCTTCACAACATAACCACTGAGCCTTCTCTGTGACCTCCTGAAGAAGGTTTTTTTGGTTTGGGTTTTGGTTTTTTGGTTTTTTTTTTTTTTTTTTTTTTTTTTTTTTTAGCCTATAGTCAACATTGTGTTTGCATGTCCCTCATTCCTAACCTTCTGGTTTAAATTTAATCAGTATTTCTTGTTACTATGCGGGGAGTTTTCGCACATGCATAGGTAGCTCCCAACATTCCCTCTGCCCCACACACCTGACAGGAGCGTTGCCCTTTGGCAGTAGTTTTCAAAGTTGGAAATGGGAATGGGGGTTCACAACACTTTGTAAGAGACAAATGAGACCTTGTAAGGTGAGTAATAGGAAACAAAATGGGGAGCATTTGACTTCTTCCATTGCACGTGAGAATTTCCTCTTTGATCTCATTTGCTCATCCATTCATCAAGGGAGAATTTTCTAAGTATTGCCAGAGGTATTTCTAAGCACTGTACCGCATAGACTCAGTCATTGTTTTCCATGTCCCATTAAACCCTCCCAAGTCTGCTGATGAGCATGACAAATTGAGTCCAACTATAGCCCAACAGTAACGGGCCCTACCAGCAATGCAAAATCCCAAAAATGTCCTACAGTCTGTAGCTGTGTGGCATCCTTGATCTACAACCTCCTAACAGAGACACCATTCTCTCTACTTTTTGACAAACTAAGTTTCACGATTTCCCAGGGAACTACCAGTCCCATCACCACTGCTACCCAAATGAAAAGAAAACAGAGATTGAGGAAAGGGACCTCTCTGTGATGACCTACACAGTCAGTCTTTGTTTCCAGGTGCCAGGCTTGAATGTGATTTCTTTGTCCTCTGTGGATAAATGTAAGCACATGTGCTGTGTGCTTCCCAGCCTCCTAGCTCAGCCACATAAGCATCCACCTCTTTAGAAGGCATTAAGGATAACCGAGACACAAATTTGACCAGCACAGCCTATTAGCCCCACACGTGGAATTCTCCAACCGAAGTCCACATTCTAGTCGGAGCCTCCTGCCAACCTCAGTGCAGACAAGGCATGAACTCCCCGCGAGCACTTTTATCCCTTTAACACATTCATTCAAACAAATTCTCAGGAATATGGAGCTAAAAGAGCATGGAGAGAAACCCATGTGTGTCATTGTCATCAGAGAGCCAGGCAGCTCCTGTCAGTCATCCAGAGCCTGTGTGTATTGAGTTTAACACTCCACTGGGGGAAGTCCAGGTGACAGCCTGCCTCTGAAGGGATCCCATTCTTATAATAAAGTATTCTTCAACTTCATCTGTCTCATAAACCCCTCTCTTCTTCAGAGGTTAAATAAAAGGCTGGAGCTTTGAGTGCCTTCAAATACAAAAAGAATATTCAGTGGTTTCAATGAGGTACGAGGAGGAACTTGCTGAACACAAAGTAACTAAAGTTTCTAATAATTGAGGGGGTAGGTTTCTCAAAAGAGTAATCTTCCTGCCATGTTGGAGTTAAAATCTACTCCAAGAGAAAAAGGTTCCTTTCTAGATCTACCAATAGTATGGACTAAAGTAGTTATCAGAAGGAAATGGAATGCAATCCAACATGAAAATGCAAAGGCTTAGAAGGAAAGATGGGCTGAAAATAAAAAGCAAAAGACCCAGAAGCTTGGTCTCAGGCCTTAAACCTCGAAACAGGAGCCATGATGGGAACTTCTAGCAACAGAGCCTTTCAATTCTGACAGCCTCCATCAGCTAAAAGTGTAATTCATCAAGCCAAACTCAAAATTTTAAAATTTAATGTGAAAATGGTGTCTGCAGAGTGTTTTCCTCTTTGCCTTTATATGTATGACTTAATGACAATCACTTGTATTCTCTGCCCACATCACCACCCTGCCCCAAATCGCAGGAGCATCTGCAACACGGGCATCCGAACCCTTCCAGATGTTACAAAGATCTCCTCCTCCGAATTTAATTTTATTCTGTAAGTATCAGGATGATTGCTATGCATAACGGCTTCCTATTTGCAGCTAAAATTTGGAAAGTAAATATTTCTCATTTCTTTTCCCAAGGGAAATCTGTGATAACTTACACATAACCACCATACCAGGGAATGCTTTCCAAGGGATGACTAATGAATCCATCATGCTGTGAGTAGACCCCCGGATTCTTACTCTGCCACACAGCCTGCTGCAACTCTCACTTTTAGTTTGAGGTTAACATTCTGCTGTATTTCGCCACATTCCTCACTCTCTGGTGACAAGGTTCTTCTTAATTAGGCTGCCAACAGTGGGAGGCGTTGTATAGGGTCATATGCTACAATGTCATATGTTCACATGACAACTACGCCAAGACTTCCATTTTGCTTTGATCAGCTGGGTCGTAGGATTGGCAGTATTGACTTCCAGTTGGTCAAGTTCTTTCTTCCTGCACAAGGGCAATTCATTGAGGCTGGGCCTTTATTCAAAGATCAAAATATAAAACTTCCAGCAATTTAAACTTAAACTTAGTCAGGAACCAAGAGTTACTCCTCATGGGAATATTTATATGATGAGAACAGAGCCAAACAAGAGTGAAAGGGTAGAGGCCTTCAGGATGTGTTGGGACAATCCATGGGGAGCCGTGAGCTCCCAGAGAGCCTTTTCCATAGAGCATATTTCTGCATGTATGCAAAGGAGCTGCATAGTATTGGTTTTGCAGAGCTATTAACTATGTTGGTTGTGATTTTAAGAGCAACAGTGCACACCAGTAGTGTGTAATTGCCCGTTTTCTGAGGTTAATGGGGACTTCGGGATCCACTCCTCCCAGTGCGCATGTGGGCCATTGTGCTCCATCTTCCTCCCTGTTCTTGGCCCTTCATCTCAGGGGTGGGATTAGTCATTTGCTTGGCACTTGTTCTCAGCTGAATGGGCCCTTGTATAACTGAAGGGTCCTGTGGAGCACCCTGCTGGATAAAGAGTATTACACTTGCTGAGGAAAGCCTTATTTTTCCCAGCTATAAAGTTCAACTCCTTAATTAGAAAATAATGAAAGCAAGCCTTCTATTTTCATCATTAGCTGGATTTGTGATTTTGCTCTTGGTGGAGCCAGCCCGGCCCTCCCCCACCCAAATCTTTACCAACTGTGAACTCATTTAATGAAAACAAAACACTTCACATGGCGCAGGCAAAACTCCGAGGGGCTAAGGCTAAAACTGTGCATTATGCGTGTGTGCCCCTTCACAGCCACTGTGGCTTTTCATTAAATCTCCTCAAGAGGCCACCCTGATGCCTCCCATTCACCTTCCCCCACCCCCCAGCAGCACTTAGCTTTGCAAATTTTAAAATAGTCTGAATGACGATGGGTTCAGCCAATCTCACAAAACAGCCTTGGTTTTTCATTTGAACCCCACAAGTTACGGAAAGGTCATGGCAATTACTTTCCCTAAGACCCTTCCTGTAAAATGTGACAGAATTTTTGACTGCACCTGCGGCAAGCCAATGACAAAGGCACTGGGTGTGGTGCCTCAGTGTTTGTCCCAGCTCCATGTATTGCCAACCAAGAAATTTCTATCAGGTGGGGTCTGCCTGTGCAGGCCCTTTACTCAGTGGGACTGTTAATGTCTCCTGTGCAGATCCAATCACTTGTGTCAACTACAGTCACCACAATTAACCACAGTGAGCAGCTAACACTAACAACCCAGAGCAAGTCAGTTGTTAGAGACCATCTCCAATAGCTCACCATGTTTTAAGTGTTAGGGTTTTGTTAATGCTGTTCTAGCTTGATTTTCTATTGCTGTGATAAAACACTCTGGCCAAAAGCAATTTGGGGGAGGAAGGGTTCAATTTTTTTTTTTTTTTTACACTTCCAGGTCTCAGTCTATTATCAAGGGAAGTCAGAGCAGGAACTCAAAGCAGGAACCTGGACTAGAAACCATAGAGGAATGCTGCTTGATGGCTTGTTCTCGGGCTCTTTCCAGGCCTCTGCTCCATTAGCTTTCTTGCACAGCCCAGGCCTACCAATGGAGCTGCCAAAGGGAGCTTTGCCCCCCTGCGTCAATCATCCATCAAGACAGTGCCCCATAAACATGCCCATAGACCAATCTGACCTAGAATTCCTCAGTTGAGCTTTCCCTTCCTGGGTATTCTGCTTCACTTACTATTGCTGCAAAACACCATGACTAAAAGTAACTTGAGAAAGAAGGACTTTAGTTGACTTACACATCCCAATGACAGTCAATCTATAAGGGAAGTCGGAGCAGGAACCATGAAGGAACAGATTTTTTTTCTTTAACACGTAGGATCTAGTTTGTGCACTCACCTTGCATGCCTCCTCTCCTCCCTGCGAGGTCCCTGTGCTTCCTTCTGTTCTGTTAGGATCTGCATCCTTCACAGAGCACAGAGCAGGTATATAAATTTTTCTGACTGCATTGCTGTGACTAGATTCAGCTCAAACATTGCCACAGGAGCACTGCAAGGGCCGTGTTGTGCCTCTCTTGCTGAATCAAACCAAGAAATACATCTTGTCACACTTGGCCACTTGTGTGATCTATAACAAATATGTTCCCTTTGTTCTTTCAACTATGTTGCCATTGGCCAAACCTTTTATCACCTGATGTTTCTTTAGAATTACAAAGAGAATTACACAATTATTATTTGTAATTCCATTATTTTTCTATATTTATTGCCCAACATTTTTATTTATAAAGGCTTCTTTTACTATTATTGTTTCTCCTGCATGTTCTTTCTTATTTTATTCATTTTTAAGTGTTGTTTGGAATGTGAATGTCTCAAAACTGTACCCGCCACGTTAGAATCCATTACTGCCATCCTTCTTTATGAAATATGCCACCGTCTTTAATTCGGCATATGGCGAAGTCATGTAAATTGACATGCACTTGACTGAGATAGCGGGGAACATGAAAACAGCTCAGTGCTGCTGAAAGACAGGCAGCTCAGCCAGCTCAGAGACTGGGAGGCCCGCAGAAATGGAGAACCCTGGATATTCAAACTAGGTTCATAGCAGCACATATGAGTCAGAAAGCAGCAGCTATCCACACAGCCCCTGCCAGGACATCACTGGGAAAGGGCTTTGTCCACAATGACTTATTCAGATAAAAATAACTCCAGTCACATTGGAGACAAGAGGCGAGTTTGAGGTCTCTCTTCTTTAGGATACTTTTCCTATGGTCATTCGGTTTACTAGAAAGAAAGACAGCAGGAAGGGAGACAGAGAAGAAAACGAAAAGGTTGCTTACACACGTCACCAGCAGGCAGAGTCCTAAATTGCCATGCATTGTCTTTCCACAATAGGACACTTTCTGAGGTCCTAGGGATTTGCAAACATAATCTTTCTTCTGTGAAATCAACCAAAAGCTAGGTGGCCATGTGATCCAAGAGAATGTCTAAAACGGTTAATATCGCCCCAAAAGAAAGACAGTGCTGCACCCCAGGATTATTCAAAGGAGGAGGCAGCATTCAGAGGTGTAGTATCGTCTGTGATTAATTTCTAACTCCCAAATCTTATTTGGAATTAGGAATTAAAAGACACCCTTCTCTCTGTTTGATTCACAATTACTGAACAAAGAATCTAGACAATGCCTGCCAGTGTGCAGCAGCTCCTGTGACAGAGCAGCAGAGGGACCCTCGTCTCATCTCTGTGCCAAGGAAGCCTTGCTCCTTTCATTCTGACACCATGAGGTTTGGGGGAAACAGTATCTGAAGAGACTTTCCAAATGTTTTCAAAGGCGTTGACAGCGTTGTGCGGGCCTGACAATGTGAGGCCTCCCACTCATGTCCACAAATTCTCCAAGCCAAGGAAGCTGTTCTTTTAATCAAGGCAAGACAGCATCCTCTATCCTGTAGTGCTGCTGAGAACAGAGAAGACTTGCCGCTGAAAGGGAAGCGGAAAGCCACAGTCCAGAAAATTCCAACAAGTGTGACCCAGACTATTCAAAAATAAAAACAAGACATGAAAAAAATAATCCATGACAGTAGCCCAGAGGGGAGATTGAGGCCAACAGCCCAGCCACTGACCTGGGCCTCTCTACAGAAGCAGAAAGGCTCTCTTCCAGTGAAGGGAAGTAACAATTCATTTAAACATGGGCCCACAGCTCAGAGAAATCCTGTCCAAATCTTGTAAAGGGAGCCTTTTCTCTCGGCTCCAGTCAGCAGGCTAGAGACAACTGCATTGGCTGAGTCCCAGAACCTACTTCTAAGTGATTAACATGTGTTTACTCATGGCAGTTTCATAAGGTTAATACTGTTATTACCATCCCAGTTTCTGGATGAAGAAATTGAGTCAGGAGACATTAAGTGACTTCCCCGAAGTAACTCAGCCTGTAAGAAGCAGAGTGAGACTGAAGCCCAGAGAGTTGGGTGTGGTGCCTACAGACTTAGCCACAAAGTCGCCTGTCCATGCTGCCTTCGTAAGGCCAGCAAGAACTGACAGGATCTTGACATTTATCAGCATTGAAATCGTAGGCTGCAGAGCTGCTCAGCAGTTAAGGCTGCACTTCCAGAAGACACAGGTTCAGTTCCCAGCATTCACATGACAGCTCCAGTCCCAGGGAATCTGGTTCCCTCTTCTGAACTCTGTGGGCACACGACGTGGTGCACAGACATACATACAGGCAAAACCACCATATATATAAAATAAAATAATAGGCGTGGTGCAGGCAAAACTACCATAAACATAAAATAAAATAATAGTAAAATACACACACACACATATATAATTTTTTTAAAGCAGTCAGAATAGCAAACCAGGGCAAAGGGGAAGGGGTTTCCAGGCAACTAAAAGCAACATTTATTTGCTAAAGGAATGCTTTGTCTTAACCCTCAAGAGAGGTAACTCTATCACTTTGAGTAGAGGAAATCACAGAAGGACTAGACTGGGGACTCAGTTCTGAGCAAAAGCCCACCATGTGATTGGCACCTTGGAAAAGACCCATCACACTGTGATATAGCCGTGGGAAGGGGTTTCCAGCCTGGTGCAATGGGGCTGGGCTGGGCTGCACATGCGGAGGGACTGGGTCTCCACCTCTGAGAATCAAGCTCATGTGATTCTGCCTAGAGGCATGGTGGTGCACGCTTCAGCAAATACTGGCCTAGACTCTGAAGACTTGGATTTCAGCAGTACTAGAGGAAACAGTTGTGACTCTTTTGTTGAACAGAGATATCTAAAGAAGAGCCCCTGCCATGACTATAGCTTGACAAAGGATAATATTCTAACTCTAACACTTTTTAAAAGCTCCCATGGGATTCAGCTGCCAATAGGGTGAGAAAGCTGTCTATGATTACCCAAAATAACAAGTCTGGAAAGGACCTGTCCCCTTACATTTTATACTAGAAAAATGGTAGAGAATACTATTGGAAAATAGCATCTAACAATCTAATATGGGTCACAGGCGCTCCTGCATGCATCTGTATAAAGAGAAAGAATGCTAAGCTTACAGCACCTGCTAGACCCCCAGAGTATTCAAGGCTCCATGTTTGGCAGAGGTTAATAAGGGAGTGACTACTGTAGTTTTAAAGGTTATGGAACATAGAGCAATATTTCAATAATATATACAATATATATCAATGAGACCAGAGCAATTAGCGTTTCCATTTCTTCGCTGTTTCTGTGTCTGGAGCCTTTGTGTTCCTTCTTCCCAGTTCTTCATAAAATGTGTGACAGGGTTGACTTCAATGCTCCTCTGGTCTCTCTGAACTCCATCTAATGAGGAGGCCATGGGATTGTGTGTCATTTCTCAGATTTCCTGAGTTTCACAGTTGGAGCATTATACTTCACATGAGCGCTGCCCGTTTATTTGATGCTGTCGAGGGTTCGCTGTGTGTGGTTGGTGGGAGGAAGTGACGCAGCTACATGCTACACTCATGCCCACCCAGCGGGAGGTGCACACCTGTATTGGCCTGAACTATAGAGACTAGAGGAACTTAGGACATCGGTGTCTCAGGGCAGGTGTCTGAGCGACTTCTCAAGTCATCACTCATACATCCACCGACGCTACAAAAGAAGCCGCAGCCTGGCAGACAGGGTGCTCTCCACCATGTCACACCATGGCCCTTCTTAGGCAAGGTCTTATTTCGTAGCTCACAAAGAGCTGACCCAGATATCAGCAAGTACGATGGTGGCTCTCAAATATGTTTGGTTATGACTCATAGCAAGACAGCATCCATAGACACATTTGAATGTTTGTGAAATTCATTTGACACATTTATTGTAGTGCTCTGAATCACGCATTGCTCAGGGTACAAGAGAGTCTACAATGAATGTCATGGTTTGAAATCCTTGTTGTCATGACATTATGCTCTGCTGAGAGAGGCAGGCAAGGCATGAGTAAAGGTGACAAAAGTGTTACATGTTTCATGTACACGTTACATGGTGACAAAAGTGAGAAATATATATAATCAATAGGGAGGGTTGGGAATGAGAGATTGGAGTCGTAAACAGGAAGGCCATATTAAGGTATATGTGGCACTGACCCCAGCCCATTAGAGGAGGGTGAGTACATCTTGAGGTCATGGGACCTGGAGAAAAAAACAGTCAGCAAATCTGATGTACTGGAAGTAGCCTCCAACAGAGTGTGCCATGGCGCCATCTCGTCACTCACCAGTCTGAACCCATCTCCTTTGTAAGATGAAGAGGTTCACTTTGGAAATCAATCTGGCGCTTTCTCAGAAAATTAGGAATAGTACTATCTCAAGATCAAGCTATACCACTCCTAGGCATATATCCGAAATATGCTCAAGTATACAACAAGGACATTTGCTCAACCATGTTCGTAGCAGCTTTATTCGCAATAGCCAGAATCTGGAAACAACCTAGATGTCCCTCAACTGAGAAATGGATACAGATACTGTGGTACATTTACACAATGGACTACTTAGCAATTAAAAACAAGGAAATCATGAAATTTGCAGGCCAAATGGTGGGAACTAGAAAAGATCATCCTGAGTGAGGTATCCCAGAAACAGAAAGACACATATGGTATATATTCACTTATAAGTGGATATTAGACATATAATATAGGATAAGCATACTAAAATCTGTACACTTAAGGATGCTAATCAAGGAGGAGGACCCTGGGTAATATGATCAATCCTTACTCAGAAAGGCAAATTGGACATTGGAAGAGGAAGAAAACAGGGAACAGGATAGACGCCTACCATGGAGGGCCTCTGAAAGACTCTACCCAGCAGGGTATCAAAGCATGGGCTGATCCTCAGAGCTAAACATTGGGCAGAGTACAGGGAATCTTATGAAAGAAGGGGGAAACAGAAAGACCTGGAGGGGCCAGGAGCTCCACAAGGAGACCAACATAGCCAAAAACTCTGGGCACAGGGGTCTTTTCTGAGACTGATACTCCAACCAAGGATCATTCATGGAGATAACCTAGAACCTCTGTACAGATGTAGCCCATGGCAGCCAAGTGTCCAAGTAGGTTCCCTAGTAATGGGAGCAGGGACTGTCTCTGACATGAACTCTGTGGATGGCTCTTTGATCACTTCCCCCTGACGGGGGGGGGGGGGGGGGGGAGCAGCCTTGCCAGGCCAGAGAGGAAGACAATGCAGCCAGTCCTGATGAAACCTGATATGCTAGGGTCAGAGGGAAGGGAAGGAGAACCTCCCCTATCAGTGGACTTGGGGAGGGGTATGGGAAGAGAAAAGGGAGGGAAGGCATGATTGGGAGGGGATAAGAGAGGAGGCTACAGCTGGGATACAAAGTGAATAAATTGTAAGAATTTTTTAAAGCCAAAAAAAAAAAAAAAGGAAAGAAAAGAAAAGAAAGGTATCGGGGAAAATGTAAATGTTGAGCTGTGGTTTAATCAGAAATTATTTGTACAGAAGGTTGTTGGATTCCAGCTATATGAGAGTTGTCAAACAGTTGCATTAAAACTGCATTTTTATTTAAAAAGAAAAAAAAAGATGAGGAGGTTCTTTCTGGCTCTGGCACTTCTCAGCATGGCTGGAGGCTGGAGCTTCTTGGGCAGGTGTGTGTGTGTGTGTGTGTGTGTGTGTGTGTGTGTGTGTGTGTGTGTCTGGGTGTGTATTTTCATATGTGTGTGTCCGTATGTGTATGTGTATGTATGTGTGTCTGTGTGTGTCTGTCCACGTGTGTGTGTCTATGTTTGTGCATCTATGTGTGTACATGTCTGTGTGTATGGAGGGTATAAAGTTGTGGAGCAAATCCAATAGCACCGCACCCTGACTGCTGGCAATTCACTCCCACTCTCTCCCTGCTCTGCTTCACTTCCCTTTTTAAAATGCCGGCTGCACTCAGCTACACTGATTTCACCGCCTGCTAATGGGGATTCAAGAACTGTTTGCAGACACTTAGATCTTTTGGGCTATGGAGCCAGTTTGGCATCAACAAAACCATGAGCACACATACAGAAATAAAGAGCAGGTGGCTCAGAACTAAGCTTTGCTAGGCAGCCCACCAAGCCCGCAGCACCCAGGGATCCACAGACGGCCTGTGAGCCAGCCTGGCAGCTTAGCCTTGAACCCCACTCTGCCCCTGTTCCCAGTAATCATAACCCCAACAGCAGCAGAGCTTGCCTTTCTTATCTTCCAGCAGAAGCAACAGCCATGAGAAGTAAATCAGAAGATGGTCATGCCAGGGTCAGGCAATTACTCAGCACTAGTAAATGTTTTAGAAATTGGTGGTGGTGATGGAGGAGGTAGAAGAAACCAGAGCAGAAGGGGCAACTTCAGTCCAGAATGCTGGAGAGACAGCTAGCTGTTGGGAATGTCAGTGGTTATCTTAGCAGTAAATGTCATAGAAGGGGGAAAGGCTGCTTCCAAAGTGTGCTCTGTCAGCTCATTCCCATCCCTAAACCCTCTCTCCTCCCTCCTCCAGCAAACTGTATGGAAATGGATTTGAGGAAGTACAAAGCCATGCATTCAATGGGACTACGCTAATCTCGCTGTAAGTATATGCTTATTTCCCTGGCTCATGAATAAAGATGAAGTATTACTCTGGCTACCAGATCACATTCAATCTTCAGCAACTAACTCAGGGCAAAAATAAACTTTCAAGTGGCTAGTCCTCAGAGTTGCATGCGTGTTACCAAGCAACCGGCTGGCTGGAAACCCCAAAGCACCCTGATTTCAAAGAAGGAAAGCAGCCTCCATGCATTGAAGTTGACAGTTTGCTGAAATATTCAACATCCTACTTTGTGCCTCCGCCATCTCGCAGTTCCCCTCTCTAGCCACCTCACACTGGTTGATGGTATGTTAGAGGCAGAATATTTCAGAGAGACTCTTCCCCAGACCCCACTGCAGGGAACGGGGTGACACCAGCCTAATGAGCCAGACAGCTTCATTTGCCCGCCTGCCTCCTGCTGGCGGGGAAGCAGCAGCTCTCCGCAGAACAGGGAGGTCCGGCTCTTCCCTACTTCAGTCCAGCCTCGGAGTAACAGCCATTACCTCAGGGAACTGATCCTAAAGATGGCTCCCTTCATTGCTTTCAATCTCCCCCTCCCCAAGGCATCCTCAGGAATAGTGGCAGGTTCACATGTTTACGTGGACATGTGGCTTGTCACAGAATAGAATGAGGTTCTGACCACTCATGTCATGAATAGCAATACGTAAGAGCACCTGAAAAGCCAAACTAAAGATCAAGTTAGTGAAAACAAACAAAGGGTTTTTTTTTAAATAAGTTAGTAGCCAGTGAGGTGGCTCAGAATTTAAAGAAGCTTGCCTGACAAGCTGATGGAAGGAGAGAACTGATTTCCAACAATTGTCCTCTGATTTCCACACACACACAATGGCATGGGTAGACAGACAGACAAAGAAAGAAAGAAAGAAAGAAAGAAAGAAAGAAAGAAAGAAAGAAAGAAAGAAAGAAAGAAAGAAAGAAAGAAAGAAAGAAAGAAAAAGAAACATAGATAGATACATAGATACACAGATAGATAATGTAACAAAAACTTTTAATAGAACTGTGTGGAGCATGATCCGCACCTATGGTTCTCAAGTGTCACACATGTGAACATTACTTCTGCTTGCTAATACAGATTCCTAAGGAGCCAACTATACTGGCCTTGCCTTGTTGGATCTCAAGGGGATGAGAATTTGCACTTTTAACAAATTCCCAGAAGCCCCTGCTATGTCAAGGTCTAAGGCTAAGGAGCTCGGGGCTGTATGACATACTAGGATTTTAACTATGGATCTCACATAGGAGCCTACTATGCTGAGCCCATGTGGTATGATGTTGTAGCTGAGAGGCAAGGCCTAAGGGTCACTAGCTGGGTCTGAACTCCAGCCTACTCTTTATCAACTTGTATCACCTTGAACAAGTTAACTTGCCCTAGCCACAGTGTCCTCATCCAGAAAGCAAGGCTGCCAATCGATTATTTGTTTTGAGCACTGGACCAACAAAAATGAAAGGTCCTCTTTTCATAAGGTCCCTTGGTACTTTGTGTGGTGCCTCAGTAAGTGCCCACTGATTGAGTTTACTCTGTGACTCTTGTGAATGAGTAGATAAAGATCTGTATGCACTCAGCTCAGGGTCTAGAGCCTACCAAGTTCTGAAGAAATGGAAACTGTGTAAACAATATCCCCATGGAGAGGATTTGTATATTGTCTTGTTGACTTGACAGTCATGCAAAGAGTTCATTAATTCATTAATAAGAACTCCAAGATTCGATCTGAAGCATCACAGCCTCCCAGGTGTCTCATTCCATTATTCACTCAACAATCCACGGTTCTACTGAAGGGGACATGCTATATTCCATAGGAGATGAAAATGAATAGCTGTAAGCCATAGGGTTTACCCACAGGGATTCACAGCATAAGAAAAGGCAGCTCCAAATGGTGTGTGGCACGTACCTGAAGGGTAATTCAAACAGAAGGTGGTGTGGTATGCTTGCCCTGAGTGGAAGGAAATCCTCCAGGATTTCAGAGGCAGGGGAAGGGGTTACAGAACATGGGGAGTGAGGGTGCAGGCTTTGATCCAGGCTAATGGGGGTGGACAGGCAAAAGCAGAAGGCAATCGTCTCCCAGACGGAAGCCAGAAAGATGAGTGGTCCACAGAGGAGATGTGTTCAGACCGGCAAACAGAGCTTTTCAGAACTTCGAGGGTCAAAGCAAGAAGGCTTAGCTAACACAGGAAGAAATTTGGGGAGTGTTCCTCTGTTGGCAGAAAGGACAGAGGCTGCAGCAGGAGAAGGATCCTGAGGTCTTCCCAATAGATGGGGCCTGAAGTCCTTTGTAACTTCAGCCCTACACACAGGCTGTGCCCACTCCCTGCACACACCCACTGAGAACTCACATCTCAAAGGAATCAGATTATATTATGAGAAAAACCGCTTGGAACAAGCTTTACTCTTCGGTTTGTGGCTTTTGACAAATCCTGAGCCTTCCAAGGTCTCAGCAACTCAGAGAATGATAAGGAGCACACTGCACTTTAACCCAGTAGCCTTGGACGTCAAGAAGCATTTTAATCCTCCCCCAGCTGCGTGGTAGCTACAAATCCAACAGGAGAGGCTGAATCCATTAAACCACTGAATAAACAAAGGGTTCCACCGAGTGAGAGGGAAGGGCAGACAACAGGTGAAAGCAAATACACACCAGCAACTTCACAGCTTCACCCAAGACTTCCATCCTTCCAGTTTGTCCAGACCTCCCCTTTTCCCTCTGCCCCACCATGCCCTGCACACAGGCTGATGTGGGCCGCAGACATGACTAAAGAAACTGTCTTTCCACACAGGGAGTTAAAGGAAAACAGCCGCCTGGAGAAGATGCACAGTGGAGCCTTCCAGGGTGCCACGGGGCCCAGCATCCTGTGAGTACAGTGGTCAGCCTCCCTCCCCGCACAGTGCACCCCGAAAGCCCTGCTGAGGAGCCAGGCCTTCAGGCTGCGCAGGCTGGCAGCGTCTACGGCTGAAAAGGACCTCGTGTGTCAGGGCTGCCACACTGAAAGGAAGCAGTGCCTTTGACAAAGCCCCACGTTGTCAGGGGCTGCAGGTCCACAGTGGAGGGGGCAGCAGGTTTGGTGCCTCTAAAGAAACATGGTGCTCAGCCTTTCTCTTACGGGCCAACGGTCCCTCTCTCAGTGTGCAGAGTTAACTCCAGTCTCCATGCGTTGCTGCTATTGTTGGGTGTGTGTCTATCTTCTCCATTAATTCACCTTCCCCTAGTTTTATTAGGACACAGGCAGAGTGGATTACAGCCTACCATGATGGCCTCATTTGATCTCAGTAAAGAGCCGGTGTCCAAATAAGATATTCTGAGCTTCTAGCAAGTAAGACTTCAACATGTGAATTCAACCAGTAATACCAAACAGGGGGTGTGGCCTCAGGGGCTAGTGGAAGGTGGCTCCCCACTTGGAACCCACTCAGAGGATCCACTCTGACCGGATAGAGCCCTAGAACCTGGCCAGCCATGGCTGAGATGAGATGAGGTGGGTTCTTCCTACAGCAGTGTGAGGAGTGGGCCTTGGACCCCGTGAACTGGGCTTCACCACAGGGCTTGTACAGAGAAAAGCTTCTCTGACCAAGGCTGGGAGAATACCACGACTATGGGTAAAAGCAGAAACATTTCAAAGGCAGTTTAAAAAATGTGACCATTTAGCAGAATCATAACATCAGGTTCCAATCTAGGGCTGATGGCTTCCCCCTCCATATGAGGCACTAATTTTAAATACAACCACTCAAAACAAAGCAAAACAAAAGGTTAAAAAAAAAATTTAACCCCCACATATGGGAAAAGTCTGGAGCCTGGTCACTAATAATCCATGTGAGGACTCTAAAGCAGGACGGAGCACGGTTTCCTAAAACAGTAAGTGCATAGAAACAGGAGGGAAGCCAAGAGCCCTCAGGCAAAGTCTCCTGCCTGCCCTGTTCCTCCAGAAACCTATACCCTGCACCCTTCCCACTCAAGTTGTTTCCCCACCGTCACTATGATTCCTGCTTGCCCTGGGCTCTGAGCCTCCATGGTGGTAGACTGTCCAGGATGGGAAAGGCTTGGGCATTAACTATTTAGAAAACAGGAAGGATTTTAAAACTAAAACCACAACCAACTCCCTCTTCTTGAAATTTTGCACATTTGCCTTTCCTTAGACTTCGCCTTTAGTCTAGGAAAACCACGGAGATTTTTGTAAAGGCCGGAGCCATCTGCACAGTTGTGCGCCCTCGGCATGGTGCTTGCTTGCTGTGGATGGACACATCCGACTGGTTATGAGAGCACACGTGCTCTGCTTCCTAGGTGGATGATGGCTAATGCCCCATGAAGTTGTTAACAGGGTGGTCTGTCTGCACTTTATGAAAACCTGCCCTGCAGAGATTGATCAACCAGAAACTGAGGCGTCAAAGCCCTGAATATTTGCCCCTGGAGCAGAACACAAAAGCTGATGTCACCTATGTGCCCACCATGTTAGAAAGCAAGAAGCTGGTTTTAGCATACTAGGGAGAAGGCAGGAGGGAGGTGGGGTGTAAGGTGGACATAGAGAGGAAGAGGTGGAGGGAGTCAAGAGTCAAGAGAAATCAGGATCAGAGAGATTCTAGTAGCCACATGGAAGGTATAAGGACATACAGGCAACCTTGAAAAAAATAGTGGATACTCACAAGATGAAAATCCCAGAACACTTCTTTGGAATTCAGATCATCATGAGAGTAACTGAAATGAAGAATTAAAGGAAAAACAAAACAAAGGAAAGGTTTCTCAGTCCCTAGGGGAGGACTGTTGAGTAAAATGTGTAAAATCAGTAAATAAAATGCCTTTCTCCCCTTTTCGGTTCAGGGATATTTCTTCCACAAAACTGCGGGCCCTGCCGAGCCACGGGCTGGAGTCCATTCAAACCCTCATCGCCACATCCTCCTACTCACTGAAAACACTGCCCTCCAGAGAAAAATTCACCAGCCTCCTGGTTGCCACGCTGACTTACCCCAGCCACTGCTGCGCTTTTAGGAATTTGCCAAAGAAAGAGTAAGTAAAAAGCAAAGGGGACAGAGGCTGCTCGGATCGAGATCTGGTTCCGTGGTCCAGTGCTGGTTCCTTTACCGGAAGCTTTCCAAGCAAACTCTGCGGCAGAGCCGCTTTCAGATAGGCAAAAAGGAAATGAGCTGTGCCTCATTCTAATCTCTCCCTGAGCTTCACAAACCTGCCAAATGGTTGAAGGACCTCTGCAGAACCCAGTGTCAAAAAGAACCAACCCGTTCTAACTCATTTTAGCCAATTAATCTTGAATTTAAAATGGTCAGAGTACTTACATGGTTTGGTTTGTTGTTTTGTTTTAGAGCACGTATACACCTAGAGGAAATTCAGTTCTATTTTTTTAAGACTTATTTATACATTTTCTGCCTGCATGTGTGCCTACATGCCAGGAGAGGCATCAGATCTCATTACCAATGGTTGTGAGCCACCACGTGGTTGCTGGGAATTGAACTCTGGACCTTTGGAAGAGCAGCCAGTGCTCTTAACCTCTGAGCCATCTCTCCAGCCCCTTGGTTTTGGTTTTTAACTATTGTCTCCCACGGAAAGCAAGTTCACTGAGGAACAGAAACCTGGCTCCTACTGATTGGTTAGTGTGCAGTCCAAAAGGGCGGGAGTGCCTAGCTTCTATGTGTCTATCAGAGGACATCTGACCGCTCCACTGCATGCTAGGCTGCCGGTGGGGTGGAGGTGAGAGTGGGAGGAGTTGAGGGGCAGTATTTCATTTCATACAGCATTGTTTTTCAGAGGTCTCTGCTGAGAGGCACCTTTCTGCATGTGACTCCCATCCATGTCACAAATAAATGAAAGGAAAAAGGACCAGCTGACTTTTCAAATTTGCAGTGTCGTCATGTGACACTTCCTGCTCTCTCAGTCTTCTGTCTCGTGCTTGTTTGTTTTCACTGCAAGCCTTGATGTGCTCTATTGTTTTCATAACCCGTTACTGGGTCACAACTCCCAGTGGGAAAAAGCAGTTCTCTGCAGAGTCATTACTGCAGCCTGCAGAGATGTGCTCAATCAATTAATTAGATAAAGCACAGTGCATCACAGCAGGCTGCTACTGCCTTGGTTTGGAACTGACCTATTTATAGCCCATCAGCCAGCCTGTATTTTTTTGCACCATGAGTAAGTAGACTCAGTTCTACCTAAAGATTTGGGGCAGCTGAGCATAAAATAACCCTTGATGTGTTTAAAACCCTATACCATTTTGTTGAGGAGGGTGAGACAGGATCTTACTATGTAATCCTGGCTGTCCTGAAACTATGTAGACCAGGCTGGGCTCAAACTCACAGATATCCACTTGCCTCTTCCTCCCACATCCTGGGATTAAAGGCCAGGACACCACCACACCCAGCTCAAGTTCTACATCATTAAAAGAGCTTTGGAGGACTTGAATTGAGCACGGGCCATGTCCCCAATGCACCAGGTTTAAAGACAGAAAAGAAGGGAAATCATGCCAGCCCTTAAAGAATGGACAAGTGGTGGTGTCAGTGAATGTTGTAACAACAGAGAACATGGCCAATGCTCTAGGGCTGAAGAGAAGTGTGTAGGGTTCACCTTCGCCAGGAAGGTGACTTTTGCTGAGCCTTGAAGAGAAGGCTAGGGGAAAAGCATGCCTGGAAAGGCTCACATGAAGGCACAGAGCAAGATACATTAGATGAATGTTATTCCAAAAGCAAGCATGGAAAGACAGTGAGCACAGGAGGGAAGATGAGTCAGGAAAAGCAGCCCAAGGAACTGATGGGAACTGATGGGCCCAGGTGGGCTCTGAGCTAGAAGAGAGGAGCTGCAAAGGTTACAAAGTGATATTATGCAAATTTGCTTTTACAAAATCTCAGTAGGGCAGCAGAATGGATGGGCCAAAGGTCACAAAGCTGGTAAGAGACAGACTGACTGACTGACTGACTGACTGACTGACTGACTGACTGACTGACTGAAAGATATGCTGGTTTAGGGGAAGGCTGATTCTGGTCACCACATTTGTGGTGAAGGGTTCATCATATTTCTGAAATTACTGACATGCGAATGTTTAGCTCAAGACCTTTTCTTCCAGAAGACAAAAGAGACAGCTCTAGGTAGAAAGGGGGTTACTAGATGTGATTACTACATCTGAGGTTGGAAACCTCCAATGATTCACAGGTGCTTCTGTGACTGTAAAGCCCCACAAAGCTTTAGCGGCCAGTGAAGCTAAAGTCGGGTCTGTGGGATCTGGTGAAAACTGAGGCACCCTGTGGATAATGCACAAGGCTGCCTGGGCAAAGCTTTCTAAGACATTCTTGGTGACTGTGAGGATAGAATGGGTATCATCAGTGTTATCATTTGAAGGCCAAGTTTTTGTTAACTGTGGACTTGTCTCCATACAGTTTCTCTGTCAAATACTGAGCCAGAACCACACCCCACCATTACACACTCACACAGGGTTGGGTGAAGACTGCGGTGGGGACAAGGACTTGGTTCAAGTTTATAAACATAATAGTACCCCTACAGTACCAAGATGATTAGTCTTTGAAAGGCCATTTGGTCAAATCATTCTGATATCACTCCCTATCTTTCCACATTTGCACAAAATCATTACTACAAAGACTTGTTTCACTGATGCTGGATGATAACAGCACGGTGAAATGCCCACTCTAGACTGCCTCATCCCTCCATTCTCTTCAATGAAGGGTGAGGCACTGGCAGCAGCTCCCATGCCCTCATCCTTATTTCTGAGCCTCCCTTAGGTTTTGTGCCTATACATCAGACTTCTTCTACCTCCTTGCCACATCTCCTTTTTCTTAAGGCAAACTTCCCAGAGGGAAAGAGAGAAGAGAAGGAAACATCAACATAAGGTTTTGCACAAAAGCTGAAGGCCTAAAACACACAACAGCAGCACACCCAGCCCCACGGAATCCTGACAGGACAGCTTCCAGTTACAACTCAAAGCCATGAATGCCAAGCAGTTAATCAAGGCCAATGGGAGGGATAAGAGTTGGTGAGGAGCAAACCTGAATACACCACAAAAGGGAGCTTTTAATAAGAATTGAAAAAAAAAACCAATAATTCAATACAACAAATTTATGTGGGTTTTCCCCCCTCTCTGGAACCCACACAAAACACTTAGCATTCAGAGGCATTTTCTCTAAGCTGGCAACACTGAGGACAATGCAGGAGGGCTTACACTCTCCTTGGGAAGCATTTCAGTCAGGACAATGCAGAATCCACCGAGGATAGGAGACATAGAGAATGCGGATGAGTAAGGCATAAATAGACATGATCAGGTTAAAGGATCAAAAGCTCAATGGCTTGTTTTTCTCTTTTTCTACCTCTTCTCTTTCAGACAGAATTTTTCATTTTCCATTTTTGAAAACTTTTCCAAACAATGTGAAAGCACAGTAAGAAAACCAAATAATGAAACGCTGTAAGTATTCACATGCAGACGTTCAGAGAGCCACATCTTGTTCTGTGGGCACCTTATTGTTATTTGCTGTGATGATTTTCTTTTGATAAAAGTCTTGGTGAGAGGATGTTTGCAAGGTGTTTTCTATAGTTTAAAATGGGAATGTTTTTTCTTTGCAAGTAGCAGCTAGTTGTACATGCTATCTTAGCTGTTTTTAAAAAAAAAGAAAAAGGAAATGAAAAAAGTCTCTTTTAAGAATATAAGGAAGTTGTTACTATATACATTGCTGTGTATAAGAGTGCACTTTATTTTCAGGATTTGGGTGTCACTCTGGGCTACTCTAAACGATGGCTTCATCTGAAGTAACTGTCATTAGTCATATGCCAGAAAGACAAACTGATTGCGGACATAACTTCTAAAGGACAAATTGACCACTATGCTCAGGAGTGTGATCTTACTCTTGTGTTCCTGCAGACCAGAGGCCAGAGGTCACCTTGGGTGTCATTTATCAGGAGCCATCCACTTTTGTGTTTTTGAGACAGGGTCCCTCCCTGGGACCTGAAGCTCACTAATTAGGTTAAGCTGACTGGCCAGGGGGCTTAGGGTCTAGGGATCAAATCCAGGCACCAATAGCACCATCTCCCCAGCCCCTTAATATTAATCTTAATATCATCATTACCATACACTAGATGGCAGCTATATGTCTACTCTACTGACGGGCTTCTAACACTTTTCCTGTTTTAAATGCTGACTGCCCTGGCATTTCACTTACCGTCAACTGTAAAAGAGCATGCCTCAGAAGACAACTCCTGTGTCCCTAAGCCGCACTTATTGTTATTCCTCCCATGTGCCCTGAATGACTACAAAACCAGATGGCCTTCTCAGATACTCTGCAAATCTCTTCTACTCTCTCTCCTATCAATCTCAGAGTGCTATGGAGGCAATGTGGGTGTGAAGGGAAGACCGTGGACCTGGGGGCATCTCAACGTTAGATGTTACCCTTGGCAGTCCTGTTCTTGCAGCCCAGAACTTGATGTGGACCTTTTGAGAATAGTTCTGGACAGCTCCTGTGCTTTCTCGGACATCATCCTTCTCAATGGGGAGCAGTGGAAATGAGCCTTGATTTTCAGAAACAGAATGAAGGGCTTCACCACAGCAACACTCAGGATGGGTGCCAGCCTGTCTCCTCCTCCCTTGCTTTCCGTTAAGTTGCTACTTCCTGCCCTGTGATAGTCCTTTCCTCGTGCATCCCTCTGTGTCTCTCAGCCTCCTTCCACGTGATTCTTTTGCATCCACGTGGCATCATAGTTATAAACAGGAATCCATTTCTAAGTACAGTCAGCTGTGCTGCCAATGGGTAATTATGGGGGGAGGATACTCTAACCCATCCTCAGCAACTGGCATCAGCCCTGCTCCAGCCTTTCCATGTGTATATCACCTTTCAGTTCACTCTGCTAAGAAGCTCCAAAATCTAGCTCACACACTTCAGACTACCAAAAATTAGCCAACTAACCCAACTAAGAAACATTGCTTCCAGTGGAAAGTTTTTTTATATATATAATATAGGAACTTGTATAGCCTCAATTGGCCTCAAACTCACCATGGAGTGAAAAATTACTTTGAACCTCTGATGCCCCTGCTTCCAGTCCTGTATTCTGGGAGTGCAGGCATGCACTCTCATGTCCAGTTTGTTTTGTGCTGGGTGCTGAATCCAGGACCCTGTGCATACTAGGTGGGCCCTCCACCAACTGAACTATGTCACCAGCTCCTGAAAGCACATTTTTGATAAGTGCAAAGCTCCACCAGATAGTCATTCTACAGCTGCCCCCTGAGCCTCACCTGTTCTTCCCAAGAAAACTTAGCATTCTCACCACCATGCCTGGCCCCACTGTCCTCCTAGAACCCCACATTTCCTCTTTCTCTCTCAGCTGTCACTGAAGCAACTGCTGCTGCCTCCTAGGCCAGCATTCCTAAGTCCCTGAGTCCATTCACACTCCATAACAGAACTACCAGGACCTGCCATTGTCAGTAGCCATGACACTGCCTTGGGAGCCAAACCAAGAGAAAATCTACCAGACATATGCCTGGCAGACAAAAGACCACGTAGGGAGTGGGGAGGAGTACATGGGACCACTTACTTATAGTTGTGCAGAAATAATGGCAGGATTCTTAGAAGTTTTAAATTAGCACCTCAAACCGCTGAGATGATTTGATAAGGCAAAAAGAGTAAAAGAAATCAAGGCAACGGTGGTTGGAATATTTTTACCTAGTTTTGTGCTGCTATTTTGATGCCTCTACACAACCTGCTTTAAGTACAGATTCCTGGGCATCTGGATTTTGATCTGCATTTTTAACAAGCACCCTGGTGGTTCACACAGACACTGATCCACACACCACACTTTGGAAACCACTGACTGAAAGATCTCTGAGCTGAGGAATGGGAAGGTCAAATCCTAACACTGTCCCCGAAAAAGAGCTTGGGCATATCCCTATCTTATTTAATCTTGGTTCCCATAGGGATTCAATCACATGATCTATAAGCACCAATATTAAGAGGGATTCATTTCCTTAATTGTTCTTTATAACATCTTCTGGAAAACTAACAGTATGAAATTATATTGATGTCTATGATACAAACACTAGTAAGTGTGTTGCTTTAAAGTTATCTAACAATAAACAGACAAGGTTCCTCAGCTGTCCTTTGTGTGGCCACAGCCCTTCCCCAAATCTGAGTCTTGCTCTAGTATTTTCATGTCTCTTTAAAAAGAAAAAAAAAATCTACGTTTTTCCCTTTAGTACTGAATACTTCAAATATTTTCTCTCATCAACTCAGTGAATTAGGTACAACTTCTAAGTATAAAACATGAAATACATTTTAATTTATTCTTTGGGAATTTTATATATTTTGATCATATTCACACCCACACCTCCCCCAAATCTTCCTACATCTACCTCCCATCTCTCCACCCCTCCTAAGTGTAAGGCTACCCACTGGAAGCCTGACTGACCTACTAGGAACCACAGTCTTAAATGGCTTATGGGGACTCTCCCTTCCCCATAAGCCACTGACTGTCAGTAGTAGCAGTAGTGAGCCTCTTCCTACTCCACACTGGGATGCTGACTGGCTTGATCTTATGCAGACAACCAAAGCTGCTGTGAGTTCATGGGTGCAGCCATCCTGCAATATCCAAAAGATAGTGTTCATTCTGGTCCTCCCCAAGTCTGGCTCTTACACTTTTTCCACCCCCTCTTCTATGATGGTTCCTGCGTCTTGGGGGTAAGAGTGGTTAGGTGAACTTTTTGTGGCTAAGCACTGCACTGACACTTACTCTCTGACCTTTGACCAGTTTTAAGTTTCTGCATTAATGACCATTCACTGCACAAAGCAACTTCTTTGATGAAGACTGAGAGCTGAACTTATCTATGGGAATAGAGACTGAGTTTAAAGAGAAGTTTGATATTATGCCCACTTAGAAAAATAAAAACAGTAGGTTCACCCCTGCAGCTCCACAATCATAAGTTCATAGCCAGATTTACAGTTCTAGGCATGTAGTGTGTACCTTAAATTCACTCGGAAGGTGGTTATCTCTATAACACTTGAACCACTATTACATCTATGGTGTATCTTTCCACACAGGTCATTATTATAGTTCACAGGGTTCACAGATGAATAAGATTATTAATGACTTGTTTTTCCCCATCAGCCATACATAGCACTCTCCTGTACTATGAAAGCTGGCCAGTAGTTAGGAAACTAGCCTCATTCTTCCAGGCAAGGGAAAGATACTTTTAATGAGAAAAACTCTAAGGTGAGATACATAATTACAATTTACAGAAAATTACACCCATTTCTTCCACTCCCAAGTTTATCAGATTATGAATGAAGTCAATACTCACTGAACCCATATCATCATCAAATATACACTCAGTGTTCCCATGCCCTATTAATTCCTTCCAGAACCAGGGTCTCCTTAGTCTAGATTGATTCACTCCACAAAGATTAGGTGAAACCAAAACTCGGGTAGACACCATTACCTCAGAAATAAGATCTTGGTCTTGCTAAAGTTTTTGTCTTGCAAGCATGACTACCTAAGTTTGATTCCCAGAACCCACATTTTAAACAGAAAAAAAAAAAACTGCCATATAGGTCATGTAAGCTAGAGAGTCAGAGACAGGCCAGCCAGCCTAGCCTACCTAGTAAGCTCCAGGCCAATGAAAGACCCCATCTCAAAAAACAAAGGTAAACAGTTGCCTGAGGAAAGGCATCCATAGTTTTCTGTCCTACACACACACACACCCCAAAATAAACAGTCAGCCAAACATGATGGCTCATACCTATAATCCAACACTTGGGAGATAGGATCAAGAGTTTAAAGCCAGCCTTGGCTATGTAGCAAGTTGAAGGTCCGCCAGGGCTACATGGAATCCTGTTTCAAAAACTAAGATATTAAACAAGATAAGCACACATCATTATTTATTGGCAATATGTTTTGATAACTAAGTGCAACTCTAACAAAGAGGAAGGATAATAAAGTCTTTAGCAATAGGACCAAGATTGGCCTCCTCAATGAACTTGTCTTTCAGGATGAGGCAGAATTTACCAGAGAGATCAAAAGAGAAAGAACATTTCCAGAAGTAGGCAGGACCCAGGCTAAGCAAAGCCTTGAGGCTCATCAAAAGGAGTGTAGATTTTTTTTTTCTCATAGGTTATGGGTACATAAAAAAGGGTTGAGTTAGATAAGTAGAATTCAGAATTCTGCTTAATAAAGGTTATTCCAGAGGGATGGAATAAGAGACAAGTAAAATTGGATAATGGCTGTCAGGAAAAAAAATCAATAGAAGTGCCCCTAAGAGAGAGTGTGGATGTGAGCCCAGGATTGCAGTGGGGAGGTGCTCCACAAGGAACAGACTCGCACCCTAAGGAGGGCTGGATTTCATCCTTCTTTCTGTTGTCCATGTTCTTCTTCCTCTAATCCTAAATTTCTACTAATCTGCTGTTGTTTCCTAGTTCCCATTTGGGTTTTTTTGTTGTTGTTGTTTGTTTTGTTTTGTTTTGAAGACAGGGTTTCTCTGTGTAGCCTCAGTTTTCCTGGACTCAATTTGTAGACTAGGCTGACTGTGGACTCACAGCGATCTGCTTGCCTCTGCCTCCCTGACTACTGGGACTACAAGGTGTGTGTCACTGGGCCAGGCCCAGGTCCCATTTGGAACACATTGTTATCCAGGTCCTTCACTGCAAACAAGTCCCCACTAACTGATGATTCTTAATGCTGCAAACCATCCAATCCCACTGTGTGCTGCTACAAACAGCTTGGTAGCAATTTGGTTAGCAACTAAATGAGATAAATAGCTAAGAAAATGCCAAGAAAGGATTCTTTTAGATGTAAGTGTATATATTATGTCTCTAAACTTGATTTCCAAAGAAAATCATCCCTTGTAATCAGCTTCATCAAGTCTTTGCATCAGTGTGTTAAATGGACATATATTATAACATTTAGATAACTTTTCATTTTCTTTTGAAAGAATTCCACCAAATGAGATAATTTAACAAATAAATATAAGGCTAAGGCTTCAGTGGCTTTGTTTTCTTTTGTTTCTCATGCTTTAAACCCCCACTAAGAATGATTCTTGAATTTCTCTTAATTCTCAGAATCATAGGAACCTCTTATGTTTCCCTTAAGCTAATGTCTGTCTTGCAGTTATTCCGCCATCTTTGAGGAGAGTGAACTCAGTGTCTGGGATTACGATTATGGCTTCTGCTCACCCAAGGCACTCCAATGTGCTCCTGAACCAGATGCTTTCAATCCCTGTGAAGATATTGTGGGCTACGCCTTCCTTAGAGTCCTGATTTGGCTGATTAACATCCTAGCCATCCTTGGCAACTTGACAGTCCTCTTGGTTCTCCTGACAAGTCGTTATAAGCTGACAGTGCCCCGTTTCCTCATGTGCAATCTCTCCTTTGCAGACTTTTGCATGGGGCTCTATCTGCTGCTCATTGCCTCAGTGGATTCCCAAACAAAAGGCCAGTACTATAACCATGCCATAGACTGGCAGACAGGGAGTGGCTGCAGTGCGGCTGGCTTCTTCACTGTGTTCGCAAGTGAACTTTCTGTCTACACCCTTACGGTCATCACCCTAGAAAGGTGGCACACCATCAGCTATGCTGTTCAGCTGGACCAAAAGCTGCGACTGAGACACGCCATCCCAATCATGCTTGGAGGATGGCTCTTTTCGACTCTGATTGCCGTGTTGCCCCTCCTGGGTGTCAGTAGTTACATGAAGGTCAGCATCTGCCTCCCCATGGATGTGGAATCCACTCTCTCCCAAGTGTACATATTATCCATCTTGATCCTCAATGTGATAGCATTCGTCATCATCTGTGCTTGCTACATTAGGATTTACTTTGCAGTCCAAAACCCAGACCTGATGGCTACTAACAAGGATACAAAAATTGCTAAAAAGATGGCCGTCCTCATCTTCACGGACTTCATGTGCATGGCACCTATTTCCTTTTTTGCCATCTCAGCTGCCTTCAAAGTGCCCCTTATCACTGTCACCAACTCTAAAGTTTTACTGGTCCTTTTTTATCCTGTCAATTCTTGTGCCAATCCATTTCTATATGCAATTTTCACAAAGGCATTTCAAAGAGATTTCTTTCTGTTGCTGAGCAAATTTGGCTGCTGTAAACAGCGGGCTGAGCTGTACAGAAGGAAGGAATTTTCTGTGTATACCTCCAACTGCAAAAATGGCTTCCCAGGGTCCAGTAAGCCTCTCCAGGCTGCCCTGAAGCTGCCCACCGTGCACTACCGCCATCCCGCTGCTCTAGAGAAGACTTACCACCAAGAGTGTTAATTTTCAGAAACTGCAATATCGAGTTGTACTTAAACATGCAAAAGAAAAAAGTCTACCTGGGTGAGGAACTTTAATATAATGTGTTTTAAAAAATATATTTATTGTTAGGCACTGTAGGAGAATTGTACCTGGTTCAGACAGTGGTCAGTGACACAGTGGTCATGGCAACTGGGCAGTGGGAACTGCCTCTGAAACTTGATGACACAGATTTCAGGGGGATTTAGAAATGTTTATAATAATTTAGACAGAGTAATTTTGTTTTTTGAATGTAATATTAAGAAAATCTAAGTTGTCATTTTCCATGTCTCTGATCTTTTTCAGTTCAATCTTATTTTCATTGTAATCTCCAAACATATTAGTTCATAACAGATTGAAAATTTAAAGTGGTCTTTGTCCTCATACAGTTTGATAAATACATTCAAGAGACGCACTGTGCAGTGTGGTAGCCATTAGCCTTGAATGGTGGGTAGAAGCTTCGTAGCCATATTCCAAGGGCTTCACGTATCTGATCAGTAAGGGCAGCACAGATACAATCTGTCTTCATCAGTGCAGGAAAGTCCCTTAGACGGCTCTGTTCTAGAGGCGTCCATTTCCCACTTACAGTCTATTTATCTAACTTCCCATGTGAAGGCACATTGCTGCATACTTGTTTGGCTTGCAGAACATGAATGCATCCTAAGCAGGAACCCATCTCAGTCCATTTTGTTTCCTCAAATCTTATCTCAGGATCTTGGAAATGATACACAACAAACATGCCCAGTTGAACTCACTTAATCTACATGGAAAAATATTTTTAGGACCTTCACTATTTTAAACACAACAAAATATTTAAATGTTAAAAATGGTTAACATACATTATTTCCATCCTTTGAAGTTTATTGGAAATATACATAACACTTATCAGAATAATTTTTTACTTGTTACAATTGACTCATGGAGGACAACCAAACTATGGGTCTAATTGCACTGCTTTTGGTTTCTCCTTTGACTTTTTAATTGAACGTTCATTATACATCCAACATCTTGGTAAATGAATTATGTAATCTCACCAGCCAAATCTGCATGAAGTTCTGCAGTGCAGATGCCATTAATCTTATATGACAGAAAAACCTATTTTTAAATCATTTTTGAAAGTACAGAAAACTAGTAAAGAGTCAAGTAAGAAGATTCTATCTCAAAGCTCTACCTCAAAACTCAGCCTCTTAATGATTCCCATATTGGTAAATCATGGTTTTTCAAAAATTACTTTCAGGTGAAATAAACACACACAAATATTCATTGATGGAGAAGCAGACAAATAATAATTGAATAGGTAAGTTTTGTTATCCAAAAGTTTATATACATTTAAAGTTCTTTAAATTTTCCCAATATTTTATTATGAACATTTTCATATGTGTAGAAATGTTGATGGAACTATGCAGTCAATCATATATATATCACCCATGTATCATCACCATTTATTGCCAGCAATATTTTACTATGTTGACTTTTCATACATTACTATGCAATTATCTGTTATCTATCCATCAATGTCTTATATTTTGATATTTTAAAATAATTTGCAGATATCACTCTTACACAAGAGTATATATAGTACATTCCCACATATATAAACTTCAGTACTCAGTACTCAGCACTCCTGTTCTACACATCATGTATGTGCAGCTATATAATAATACATATGCTTTCTCACACGGCTTCTGGGACCCAGTATAATGTTCTTATTCTCTGTACACGTAATTGCTTGAATCCATTCATACCTTTTAGTTGCTGATTAATATGCTACCATATTGATGTTAAAATGCTCTTCTCCTACTGATATCTTGACTATTTCCAATTTTCAACTCCCTGTGAGCATTTTAATAAATAAATGCCTAACCATAACTAGACTCTACATATTTAGTTTGTTTTCAGGTCTTAAGTAAATATGTTAAATAAATCAAAAAAGATTGTAAGATTTATATTTTAAAATCTCTTCTGTGCTCTAACCAAGGACCATTCATGGAGATAACCTAGAACCCCTGCACAGATGTAGCTCATGGCAGTTCAGTGTCCAAGTGGGTTCCATAGTAATGGGAGAGGGACTGTCTCTGACAGGAACTCAGGGGCTTGCTCTTTGATCACCTCCCCCTGAGGGGGGAGCAGCCTTACCAGCACACAGAGGAAGACAATACAGCCACTCCTGATGAGACCTGATAGAGTAGGATCAGAAGGAAGGTGAGAAAAAGATCTCCCCTATCATAGGATCCCCTATGGGTTCCTGCTTAGGAGGACAGGGGGAGAGGCATGAATGGAGAAGGGGGAGGGAGGGTGGAATTGGGAGAGGAGGAGGGAGGGTGCTACAGAAGAGATACAAAGTGAATAAATTGTAATTAATAAAAATCAAATTTTAAGAAAATCTCTTCTGTGTTTACATGTATGACCTTTCTGCTCCATTACAAATGACTAGGCATAAATCCCAGGAACAAAGCAACTTAGTAAGAAAAAAGTAAATTAAGGAGAAGACTTAAACCCCACCTTGTAAATAAGCTCTTAAGCTAACACACACTCTAAAGAACTCATAGTACACTCAGAATGCAATTCATGACCTCTTACACAAATAATTGAGCGTTATTTTCAACATTAAAATTTAAGGTTTAATAAATGAAATCGTAGTTTGCTGTCCCCCTCATTCTCATATCTTCCTGCCCATAAGTGCTATGTTTGAATTATCCTCCAACCCGGTTCTTTACTTTGTATCCCTAGTGCCAAGCGTATACCTCAGGACATTCCCCCCTTACTCCTGGACTATGCCATAGCTGTCTAATTTGCATTTGTCCCCAGTCTTTTCCAAGTCTTGAGCATCATACACACCCAACCTTCTCAAAATCCTATTTAATTTCACTATGTGCCTGCACATAATTCTCAAGCAATTCATCAGCACCTGGAAAATGCACGTGCCTACTCCTAGGCTATCACTTGGAGAACTATAGGATCTGTCCTCAGATCTGCTCATCCTTTCTTCTGCTAATTTCTTTATAAAACAAACTGACCCAGGCTCTCTTCCCTAAGCCATTCCCTTCCACCTCCATGCTGGAGCCCATGCCATTATTACCTGTAGGCCTAGTTTTTCACCAAACCTACTTTATTTAGGGTTCTAAAACACCTTTACCTCCCTCCCACCACTACCCCCACCTTAGATAGGAGATTAGTAGGGAAGAGGGCTGTAGATCTTTTTTTTATCTACTTCCTGCTGAGTAAGGTTGATGGGTCTTTAGAGGATTACCAAACTCAGTCATCCAGCAGTCCAGTCCAAAGGCCAGCTCAACGAATCAGCTAAACAAGTCAGCAAAAGCTGTTAGATTCAGTCAGATTGCCCTGAGAAGTTCTCTGGAATGTTTCTCTCTGTGAAGTCAAGTGTCAAAGCACGAAGATCAGGGCAGCGATGTCAATCTAAAAAGCGCAGCCTCACTGTGTGTGGGCCTCTATATATCTCCTCTCCTCAAAGTCCACCCATGGATCTTCTCAACTCGCCAAAGTCACGCCCCTCACATGAGAAAGCTCACAGCAAAACATCACGTGCCCAGCTTGTAGCAAAACATCATATGACACAACTGAGTCTTCCCAGATACCAGAAAGTTCCACTTCCCATCACAAGTTTACCTGCTTCATCAGCTCTTCTTGGATCTGTCCCTTCCCTAATGCATTATAGTTATAACAGCTCCTATGTGAAATAACAGAATGAATACGTGACTCATGATAGTCCCTTCCCTATAGCCTTCTTACATATATGCATACAGCCTGCATGCATGTCTGTGTGACACATGTGTATACATGCACGCCTGGTGCCCACAGAGGCCAGAAGGGGGTGTCATAGCCCCTGGAACTGGCGCTACAGATAGTTGTGTGGGTGCTACAATTCAAACCCTGGTCCTCTGCAAGAGCAACCAGTGCCCTTAACCACTGAATTACCATTCCTTCTTCTACAGGCTTCTTGACCATTCTTCTGTATCACTTCTTTTCTTTTCCCCTATACTGAGTATTAATTATCTACACAAGTCCATCCTTATTTCACCTATGTTAGGAAGATAAACTACTTTCTAGTAACATCTCCATTTTTCAGACTGGTTCTTTTTCATAACTAAAACATAAAACTGCCTTTGTTAAGAAATATTTTATAAATAAAATGTCTAGAATGTATGTTACTATTCTGTATAACCCTTCATGGCTAACTCATAAACAGAAAGACACTCTTTCTTATATGTTTTCCACCATCGGTACTATTACAAATAGACTGTAAAAATGGCTTTAAAAGACTGATCAACCTGGAATAAATCATCTAAACTTATAAGATGACTTTTAAAAACATTGGTATTTTGTTCTCCGCTTACTACATTTGTTACAAAAGGCTTAGTTTTACTTTTCTTATCATACTCAGTCTAAATATAAATTAAGAACCTTTTTCATGAAGTGTTTCAATAACTAGGCTTCATATAGGAAATAATCTTTTCTGGGTTGGAGTGATGCTCAGTTGAGAAAGAGCTTGCCACACAAGCATGAGGACCTGAGTTCAGAACTCCATCACCCACATAACAACAAGGATCAGCAGTGTGCATCTGTAATCCCAGCATTGATTGGAGATGTGGACAGAGACAGAATTCTGGCGCTCACTGCTCAGCCAGCCTAGCAGAAGCGGTGAGCTCCAAGATCAATGAGAGACCTTGTCTCAAAAATTAAGGTGAGCGTGACCAAGGAAGATACCCAACGCTGACATCTGGCCTCCTCATTCAGGCACTTGCACATCTGTACATGCAAACATGCACACAGACACACACACACACATACACACATTCATACACTACATAAACACAAAATATTTTCCCTTCAAAATGGGTGAAAAATCACCCACAGGCCACCAGCCTGAAAATATTAAATAAAAAAACCACCAGAAATAAGCAATTGACACATTTTTGATTGACCACTTTCTACGTGGAACAATGAAATCCCATACCATCACACTC